TGAATGTCAATGAGAAGATTTGCAGAGAACGTATTAAAGCACGCGGAGTGGACTGGTGTACTGGTAAGTAGAATTATATGTTTTGGAAAAATCAAAGGCGCTACAGTCTCAGATGTCTGAAGCTATTTCGTGATCATTTGTTTTTCAAATAGGCAATTTAGGTGATCAGCCCTCTGTGCCTGACACACGCCGCCGACTATTTGGGGTTGTCGGTTTCCTCGTGATGTTTTCCTTCACCGTACGAGCCAGTAATAACAGCTGCCAGAGGTATTTCCGAACCGATACGACAAAGGGGACTTCAAGAAAAGAGCCTATATTCCTTTTTTTTCTTCTTGCTCATTTAGGATTGCATCGATCATGGTTGGATATTGACAGGGTACACAGCTTCGGGCACGGACTTTGAATTACTTGACCTGATGCCGACACCACCCAACACACACGCTAGCCCACGGCGTCCATTGGCAGCGGTTATCACTTAATTCAAATTGACCCTGCTGGTTTGACTCCTGTCCCATAAACAGAAACTAAACTCAAGTGTTTCGGAATGCCACTTTAAAATGCACTAAAAACTTGAAATAGTTCCTCAATTTATTTTCATCACCTAGTTATGGCCCAGTGGCTAATCGTTTTCTACCTGAATCATCAAGATTGGTCAACAGACCAACAAAAAAGTGTGTGTGTGTCAGCTACGACGCACGATTGGAGTTTACTCCTTACGAACGATAAAATGGCGATAATGTTCTGTGGCTGTCGACCATATTTTCATACTAAAGGTGGTAAGAATATATGATTTTATAATATAAATGTTTGTAGTAGTAATAAAACGTACCTACATCATCTATGCCCAAATAGGATTTTCTTTCTGTGACCAAAGTTACCTTTATAGTAAGAGAAGAATAAGAATGAACAATCTTTTTAGTCTTAATTTCACTGACCATTACTATTGACAAAACTCTATGGCACGCTAGACAATCTACTTTTATTTTTTACACCTGTCAACACTGACAATGTTGTAACGTGGCTGTCAAAACGTGAATTCAAAATAGAAAAGTCTGTGTAATGTATTCCATCTCATTCTTTTACACGTTCCATCCATTTGTCTCTTTCTACATAACGCCTCAACTTTTCGTGTTACACTTGATTTTACTCCTCATAAAATTTCCGTACCGGGCCTTATAACTCAAATCGTTTCTTAAGGAGTAAACTCCAAAAAACACACGCGTCGAATTGTAAGCGTTCTGCTTCGGTATTTTATAAATTGGTTTGAAAGACAAGTTAATTATTGCACACCTTTATGTAGAAAGCCTTACTAATACAAGTTGACTTCACGGACTTCTATTTAGACATGCAAACACTCCAATCACTGATATCAATTAGGGTTTACTTCGACAATGTTCTTCATTATTAGCTTTTCAGGAGTATTATGTAAGAATTTGGAAATAAAAAATGCCACCAGGTCACGAAATGCCGATGGAATCCGGGCCCAGAGTTGTATCTCGGCTTGATGATGCGGAAAAACTCGATGTCGAGGTAACGTTCGAATAGATCGTGTCAAATATTTTTTTAAAGTCCTAACGATAGACAATTAACAAATATGAAGACACTAATTAAAGTTTTATGGTGTCAGGCAGATAGTACCGACTTTTTAAATTTTAATTTTCTATGTATTTTAATATTATTGTTATGTACATTAAGATTATACATAATTTAATTACCTTTTATTAATTGTAATAATGACCAAAAGCTGTGAAAACTAAAATTGATATAGCATTAATGGATGGCATTTTAAAATCTAGTTTAAATTCAAGCCGTTGACCGATCTCAAAGGTCAATGGACTGTCGTGAATTTTTCTTTACCGACTTATCTACATCATTAGCACCTTATGTTCATAACAGTATATACACGTACGCATACTTTTTTCAATACGGTTTTTTAACCCATTGACATACTTAATTATGGTGTGAATAATAAAAAGTGTAACAACGACTTCGTGAATGGAATCAACAATTGGTAGCTAAAGTATTCTATTGAACTGTATAATGTTTTATATGTTTGACGTCTTGTAAACCTTATAAAGAGGGGACAGGCCTGCCATCTTGACTCTTTCATTGTTACAGATACCGGCAAACTTCTTGAGCATTAAACATTATCACGCGATCGACACGTCACTCTCTCTCTATTCTATTATGTTAATAATCGTATGAAATTTTTAAGCTGGACACATTTTTTACGGAAACTCTGGCGGAACTAAGAGCAGCATCTGGCATAACTGCAGTTGAAATTGATGGGACTGAGCAAATAGGTAAAAACATATTGTGTAGTAGCGTGTAGAACACTTTCATATTTTAAAGCTAAAGATTTGTTTGATTAACTTAACGTATCAGAAAATACTTTTTGTAATATAAAAGTTCTTAATACGCTGCGGCCGAATGAATCCAGGTGAAACCCAACGTACAGCTAGAAATTAAATATTTATGCTACAATAGTTAGCACCACTTGGAATTGACAACCGTTACGTTATCTTAAATCTTTCTTTCAATAACGACAAGTTTTATTAGTCGTTTGAAAAGAAATCGGATCTTGAAAACAAAATTTGATAAAGCACGTTCAACAAGCGATTTCTTGTAAAGATTTCAAATCGATGTTATAAAATTACATAAGACGATTGCAGCGTTGAAACATTAAATAATTTTTATCAGTTTATTTCATTGCTACTACGATACGTGACTTTTTAATCAATATAATGATAATTTTAATAGCAAGTCTGACATAGGTGCGAAATTTCGAGAAACAATCAAATTGTTTTTTATTTTACAAGTTTCACCTGGGTCCTTTACATCACGGGCCATTAAGGAATAATTTTTATTGAATAAAGTTTGATGAATGATATAGGTATCTAACTCAGGACACAATGAAGTTTTAATGCTACTTTTTCCGCACAGAACTTAAAGTAGATGGGTAATTTTTAATGAAAATAAAATTCAGAAAAGGGAGCGTTCAAGTTTTACGTAACGAATTTTGGGATGGGGGCGGTCCTTTTGTATAACGTTACGCTGCGGGGCGGGAATTGAATTACGCGTTATTGTTAATATTATTTTCGAATCCTACTTGTAGTAAAATATTTGAAAAAATTATATTAAATCAACTGGTAAGTCATTTTAACGTAAACAAATTATTACATAATAATCAGTTCGGTTTTACCAAGGGTCGCTCGACAGCCGATGCCGGTGTTGAGTTATATAGATATATAGTTAAGGCTTGGGAGGAGTAGCATGACGCTTTAGGTGTTTTCTGCGACTTATCCAAAGCATTTGATTGTGTCCAACACGAGACCTTAATCGGGAAACTCCGCCACTATGGCATCAAGAATACCGCACTGAATCTTCTGACTTCCTATTTACACGGAAGAACTCAGAAGGTTGAAGTGAATGGTAAGAGGTCCTCTGGGTCGGCAGTAGATATGGGGGTACCACAGGGCTCAATTCTTGGCCCTTTCCTCTTTCTTGTTTATATAAATGATCTACCTTTCATGGTAGAGAGAAAACATCAGATAGTTTTGTTTGCTGATGACACGTCCTTGATTTATAAAATCAAACGACAAATAACAAATTTTGACGATGTGAACAATGCTCTGTCTTCGATTGTCCATTGGTTTAGTATGAATAACCTTCTACTTAATGCAAAAAGACAAAATGCATTAAATTTTGTGCAAAAAAATGCAAGGGTTATGGATACTAGACCAATTATAAACGGTGAGGAATTGAATCTGGATGATACAACTGTATTTCTCGGAATCACCATGGATTCAAAACTTCAGTGGTCCCCTCATATTAACGGATTGGCGAAGAGACTTAGTTCTGCAGCCTAAGCGGTTAAAAAAATTCGCTCACTAACTGATGTCGATACAGCTAGACTTGTTCATTTTAGTTACTTTCATAGCTTAATGACTTATGGCTTATTATTATGGGGTCATGCTGCTGATGTCGAAACTATTTTCATCCTGCAGAAGAGGGCTATTCGTGCAATCTATAATTTAAAATGTAGGGAATCTCTTAGAGATAAATTCAAGGAAATTAATATACTTACCTTTCCCTCGCAATATATTTATGAAAATATTATGTATGTATACAAAAATAGTGATAAGTTTACTAGAATAGAACATACGCACAATGTTAATACACTGAACAAACGCAGGCTGCAATTTCCCCGTACTAGACTATCTAAAGTTAGTAATTCTTTTTTTGGGGAAAGGGATACTCTTCTTTAATAAAATCCCAGAGGCTCTTTTATCACTGCCTTTCAATAAATTTAAGAAATGTATTAAAGAAAAGCTGTGTAAAAAGGCTTACTATAAAGTCAACGATTATGTAGTTGATAAAAGGGCCTGGGACTAGTGCTAGACAGGCTACTTCTAATTAATTTGCGATATTTGTTTTAAATAAGTGTTGTTTGATGATTTGCTGTTTTAAAAGAGTACCGAGAGTTTTTTACGCCGGCTTTTTCTCTCGGCCTACACCCTCTGTCTTCTTTGCCGATGAGTAGGGATGCCTTCAAATTTAATGACGTGGAATAAGTGATACATGTGTCTTATATTCCATAATAAACATTTTTTAGGGTCAATAATCTTCAAAAATTGCGTGACGTAATACTTGAACGCTCCCAAAGGGGCTTTTATTATTGTAGGCTATGTTAATCATATAACATAATTTAGTGTAATTGCATCGTTGACTAAAGCCGGTATTACATTACGAATTTAGTGGCATGAAATTAATTTCGTGACATTAGTTTTACCAACAGTTTCACGTGTAATTTAATATTTTCGTAATGCATACATTAATTTCATGCAAATGAGTTTCGTGCCCTGCGGGATTTTTTGGTGAAATTAGTTTCATGCAACTAATTTCATGATGGAGATGTGACGTGAAAGTTGAAACTAGTGTCGCGAAAGCGCCTGTGCTGTGAGAACGTGTGTATTTTGCGCGCCTTTCCAGGGTTGAAAATGGCAAACCAACGATGGAGTGCAGATAAAAATATACAATTCATTAATGAATATCAGCGAGAAGAGTGTCTCTGGGACCCGAATCACCCACAATATAAACTTAGGGATGCCCGAGATGTGGCCTACAAAACAATTATGGAAACTATGGAGATGCAAAATGTCAAAGAAGTTGTTGGTAAAATACGCTCCCTTCGAAATACTTACAACAATGAGTTGTTAAAGACAACAAAATCTAATACGGGCATGGGAATTAATAAACTGTATATTTCTAAAATTCCTTGGCTGTCACATTTGGATTTTTTGAAAAATATTGACAGCTATACTAGAGAAAAAATAGAAAATGTGGTAAGTATAATTTATTCTATAGACTATAATATTACAATGGATGTTTCTTTCGCCTCCTTGCATTTAAAAAATCATTCTCTCTTGCTATTCTATACGCCCATGTCCAACAAAGTATTCAGCAAAACCTTGTCTTATAAGAGTTGCATTTCTAGAATGATTTCTACCCAGATTACGGAGTGCGGAAAAAGCTCTGTGGGTTACCGTTCGCCATGTACCTTCCACTACTTCTCCCGTTTCTGGATTTTGTCATCAATCAAACCCGGTTCTTCATAAGTTGATGAAACAGTTTTCAGCCAATTGTGCAAGACACAACATGTCTTTATTATTTTGTCCCCAGTTTCTGGCAATACCGGGATAGGTATTTTGTATAGTTTTTCGAGCTCTGTTTAATCTGTAGTTGAAAATTTTCTGTTACTTTGTGTGATAAGTTTAAAGGGGCGTTCCCACGAAGCGTTAATCACGACAGTCAACCACGCTTTCGTGAAATACACTTCTGTGTGAACGCATAGGCGTTAAACTTGCTTTCGTGAGGAACGGCGCACGACTCAAGCGTGGATAGATCAAACGTGTTTGATTTTCAGTCGTGATATACCGTTCGTGAAGCCAAGATGTCGTCACAACAGCGTGGAATTAAGTTTAACGACAGTGAAACTACGCGTTTTTTGGAGTTATATTCTATGGAAAAGGTGTTATATGATCCAAGTTTGGAGGAATATCGTGATAGAGATTTACGTGCCGCCGCAGCTAAGAGAATAAGTCATGAATTAAATATTCCTGGATTTGGACCAAAAGAAGTTATATCAAAGTTCAAAAATTTAAGAAGCTCTTTCTGTCAGGAGTTAAAAAAAATATCAGACAGTGCAAGGTCAGGAAAAGGTACAGATGACATATACAAGCCAAAAGTATTTTGGTTTGATCAGATGAACAGTTTTATTCGTCCGTTTGTTCAACAGCGACCCACACAATCGAATCTGGTAAATACCTTTTTTTATAAAAATATATATCGTTTATTTATGAAAAATAATTTTAAATAATTTAAAAACGACATACGAGTATTAATTTAAATTTAAATTAGTATGAATGCGTTGTTTTTAGTAATTATTTAATATTTATAATATCTTATCTTATCTTCTATGAGTATTGTATAAAACTCATTAAAAAAAAAAAAGGGTGCGTGTACTTATGTACGCGCGTAAGAAGTTATACTTCTTTGGCATTATTAAAAATAGTAGTTTTCCAATTACAGCACTAGAGCGCATTTTGCGGCATAATGCTCAACGTTGAGTGTTCCAACTACAGCAACGCTTCCGGCTTCGCACAATTGAGCACTCTCAAAACGAATGCTCTCGCAAACAATACCAACACAGTGACAGAAAATTGACCAGTATTTTTCTTTAAGTTGGCATTTATCGAAATTTTCGTTAGTAAATATTATTTATTGTTGAAAAATTTGTAAGGCTTTCGTTTCGTCGTAGATTTTGAAAATAATTAAAGTTATTTCAAACTGTAAAAAAAATAATTATTAGTATGGATGAAGGTATAAATAGTTACTTTTTTTATATTCCACATTTAAAATATGAATACAATATTATTTTAAAATTCGGATCTGTAAACAAATTTACTTTACAGGATTATACTTTAGAAAAAATTGCAATGGTTTTGAAAAAGTATATATTTTTTTAGAAATCATTAAAAAATATTACTCAAAACGTAAATGATGTAAACTTCTTACATGAAACTAAATATTTTACTGTTAATTTAGCTTGTTAAAACCTTATATTTTTTAAAGGTTTTCTCTTATTTCAGTAAAAAAAATTAATGAAATAATTTGATTATTAAATTAAGCGTAAAAAGTTTTCAACCAATTATTATTGTTTACCACATTATTTATACATGAATGAGGTTGCTAACTCTATTCACTCTGCTGATGCATTTGAAAACTAATTCACGTTCCAATTAAGCTTCAGCATTATGCGGCATTGTGCGGCACTGAGTCGAAAAATGCTCTGTAATTGGAAAACGCACAGTTTTTGATTGCATGCAAATAATTAATTACAATTAAATAATCAAAGACTGGAAAAGGAGTCATTATAGTCAATTAAGTTTAGATTTGAAAAATTAAATAAATATGTAATTATTTATTATTATTCTCTTACATTAAGTGTAACATAAATTATATTTAGTTAAAATTATATATTATTATATATTTAGAACATCTCTACCAAACACTAAGAAGTATGTTGTTGCTTTGGCAGTATTGCACAATATAAAATTAATAAATTTCTTTGAAAAAATAATCAAAACTCCTTTATTTGTTTAAAAGGTAAATGACAAATGTCATTATGGTCATTCAAAATTCTTGGCATACGAACTTCACGCATATTCTATTTCTTTTTACTTGTAGATTGTCTTATTCCTATCTCGCTCGCGCACGCTATAATCACACTCCCAATTTTGTGTCACAGGTGCGCGCGCATCGTAAAATTTCACTCTCATACATTTTTCATAACGCTCCTAAAGAAGTATAACTTCAAAATCTTAAACGTAAATATATTTATTATCCACACGATTGTAAACGAAAATAAATGTACAATATGTATACATCAATTATTTGGTTTTGCCAGGGTTTATGCTCCTTCGTTATTAAAATAATCACGATATTTATTCCGTATTTGTTGTGCCTCCATATTAGAATGTCTGTGGTTAGTTGCTGGTAGATTCTGTAATCCGGTATTCAAACTGAAATTCAGTCATTCGCAATAGGTTTCTAAAATCTTCTGGAAAATTGCTTTTTAATTCCATACTAACCAAGTTCGACGCTCCTAACATATTTCTTCGCTGTATCCATTCTCTAACCCAAAAACGTCTTTTTTTTCGTTTTCTTGTGTCCTGTAAGCGCTCAATCTTTTTTGCTATGATAGTAGCAAAAAACGAACTTAAAACAGCACAACTTTCAACAACCAGATCATTCATGATCGATGTTTCGATAATGACTAAGTCGAAACACGAAGCGTGAACGGCACGAAATCCCCCAACCATGTGAACGTTTTATCAATTCACACTTTCGTGAGTGTCACGAACGAAAGTTGACTAGCGTAGTTGACTTTCGTGATTAACGCTTCGTGGGAACGCCCCATAATCGATGACTATATGGTATCATAAGATATTCGGTTAGGTTACCCCGCTTGATCTTCCAACAAAACCAGGAGCGTTCAATACATGTTCCTCCAACATTGTTTTCAAATTTTATATTGCAAAAATTCCCCCATCAGAAGCACGACCATAATTACCCACGTTAATATATCTAAATGTTAAATTACTGTCACGGACTACTAGAAGGATTATACTGAAAGTTCCCTCGTAATTATAGTAATCCCTTTCTAAATGCGCTGAACAACGTATTTGGACATGTTTGCCATCTATAGCCCCACCACATAAAGGAAAATTACAGTTGTGATTAAAACCATCAACATCAACATCGCTCCAAGTTTCTTCAATGTTTGCCATCTTTAAAGAAAAAAAAATCAATAATAAATTTTTATACTAAATTGAATTCATTGTTTCAGGCAACAAATACCCAGGCAACAAATACCCAGGCAACTTCTACTTTAGAATCCGACAGCAAATATTTTTCCGTACCGTCCATATCTACAAGATATAAAAGAAAAAGAAAAGATCCCCTACTGAAGGCAGTAGATGTATTAGAAAAAGTTGCACCGCAGCACTTTTCACATGCTCAAGATGAATTTGATCTTTTTGGACAAACTATAGCTGAACAGTTACGGCAACTTCCTCTAGAAATGGCTCTGGAAACAGAGGAAATGATATTGTCAACAGTACGAAAGCAACGAATCAAATTAGCAAAACAACAGACGTCAACTCAACAAGTTCGCCTTCCAGCTTCTTCAGATTAAAATATTTTTGCTTACCTCAATAAAGTTTTTTAATTCTTCGTAGACTGCATCCAGGATCTTAGGCACAAATTTCGATATACTACATGATGCCACCCTGAATTCGTATGATAAAGTCTTAAAACTATTTCCAGTTGCTACAATTTAAGTTTTGCTGGTAACGCTTCTCGACATATCGTATCTTGTTAAGTTTTTATAGCTCTCAAGATCTTCATCTTCTTCAGAGACTAACTTCATTTCACCCAAATGCAGAAACTAACAAGAAAGTTAACCATCCTCGAATCCACTCTTTTTTTAAGTTTATAGAGAAGCATATCTAGCTACATTGAATAAAGAAAAATATAGCTTTGATGTTCATGAAGCCATGGTTTTTTCACGACACTAATTATTTGACGAAATTACTTTTGCATGTATCGATACATCTTTTGTAAAACTGATTTCACATGGATGCCACTAATCTCGTAAAGTATTCATTGTCACGACAGTTTCACAGACGAAGAATTCAAGATTCTAAATGATTAGTGATTTATTTTTATCAATGAGAGGGTTAATGTAAAGTTGTTGGTAGTTACGATGCAACTGCCTCCTCGTGCCAGTTATTAGTTACAAGTCCAGATAAAATGCACTATTCATTTTTTTAGATCAAATTCAAGTTCGTATTCAAGCTGCTATCATGGCAGCTCCACCATTCAACATTGAATATTGTTCTCAATTGCGGAATGTATGCGGCGACTAAATATAAACAAATTAATGTTATGAATTAGTGAGTTTACGTTAACTTTTAGTAACTATTTGATTAGTTTCTTATTTTTTGCAAATAATTGCAGATGTAATGTATCTTTCGATTTTGGGTTATTAAATTAAATAAATATATTCTTAATAGAAAAATTGTTTTATTATGTACTCCTCCGTACCACTATCATAATTAATTAATCTGCTAATTAAGAACTAACAATTCAGCAGTCTCAAAAACAATATTATACATACAGAACACTGAAGTCTCGCGACGAGACTAATAAGAACATCTCACAATTCTATTAAATTAAAAAATGCATTATTTTTTTTACAAAACACACAATCAGTCATACAAAGAGTGGCTTATACAGTCAACAAATTTCTAACAAAAACAGTGCCGACTGTACATTTGGCAAACATGTCCAACCACCGCCGACGCACACAAATAAATACACGCGAGCTAAAACACGAGTCCGCTTGAGATACGAGTTGCGCGATCACACCCCGCAGCGACGGAGATCACATTTGGCTATCACTCGGTTATCAGTCTCTTACAACTCGTCCTTGAACTCGTCGTCTTCGCCTGGGCCAGGAGGTGGTACTCCACCTTGACCTTGGTATAACTTGGCAATGATTGGTTGGACTACATCTTCGACTGTCTTCTTTTGCTTTTTGTACTCTTCAGCATCGACGTCTTGGTTGTCTTCTAACCATTTGATAGCTGCATCAATAGCTTCCTCCATTTTGGTCTTTTCATCTTCACTTACTTTAGCGCCTAATTTTTCCTTGTCTTGGAGTTGGTTCTTGATCGAGTAAGCGTAGCTTTCTAATTCATTTCTAGCTTCAACACGTTCCTTTAGTTTCTTGTCATCATCTGCGAATTTCTCTGCATCCTTGATCATTCTCTCGATATCTTCTGGTGTTAGTCTGTTCTGATCATTTGTAATGACAATCTTTTCCCTGTTTCCTGTTCCCTTATCTTCAGCGGATACTTGGAGGATACCGTTTGCGTCAATTTCGAAGGTGACCTCGATTTGTGGAATTCCTCTAGGTGCGGGAGGAATGCCAGTTAAATCGAACTTTCCAAGCAAATGGTTGTCCTTGGTCATTGGACGTTCACCTTCGTAAACTTGGATGGTAACGGTGTGCTGGTTGTCACTGGCAGTTGAGAAGATCTGGGACTTCTTGGTGGGGATGACAGTGTTACGTGGGATAAGTTTGGTCATAACGCCGCCGACAGTTTCGATACCCATGGTAAGAGGGTTTACATCCAAAAGCACGATAGCATCAGTATCCTGTTCTCCACTTAGTACTCCGGCTTGGACGGCAGCACCGTAAGCGACAGCTTCATCAGGGTTTATGCCTCTGGATGGCTCTTTGCCGTTGAAGAATTCCTTGACCAGTTGTTGCACTTTAGGAATACGTGTTGAACCTCCAACAAGTACGATTTCATCAACATCTTTCTTGTTCATGTCGGCGTCTTCTAATACCTTCTGTACTGGTTTCAATGTAGATCTGAACAGGTCCATGTTCAATTCTTCAAACTTAGCTCTAGTTAAGGTTTCGGAGAAATCGTCACCTTCAAAGAAGGATTCAATTTCAATCTTTACTTGGTGACTGGATGACAGAGCTCTCTTTGCCTTTTCAACTTCACGACGGAGTTTCTGTACGGCACGGTTATCTTTTCTGATGTCCTTGCCCTTCTTCTTTTTGTACAGTTTGATGAAGTGTTCCATAACTCTCTGGTCAAAGTCTTCACCTCCCAAGTGAGTGTCACCATTGGTTGCAACTACTTCAAACACGCCATTGTCAATGGTCAGAAGTGAGACATCAAATGTACCACCACCTAAATCAAATACAAGCACATTCTTTTCTCCGTCTTTCTTGTCGAGACCGTAAGCAATTGCAGCAGCGGTAGGCTCGTTAATTATTCTCATGACGTTAAGACCAGCAATTACTCCAGCGTCTTTAGTAGCTTGACGTTGAGCGTCGTTGAAGTAGGCGGGTACAGTTACGACAGCGTGGGTAACCTTCTTGCCAAGATAAGCTTCAGCAGTTTCCTTCATCTTAGTAAGCACCATAGCTGAGATTTCTTCAGGTGCAAACACCTTGTCTCCTTGGGCAGTTTTCACAGCCACATGAGGTTTGGTGTTCTTCTCAACTACCTTGAAGGGGAAGAATTTGACATCATGTTGGACAGTGGAGTCTGTCCATTCACGACCAATAAGACGCTTAGCATCAAATACTGTGTTTTCAGGATTTGTAGTGAGCTGGTTCTTTGCGGCATCTCCAATAAGACGTTCACCATCAGCAGTGAAGGCTACATATGAAGGAGTGATACGGTTACCCTGGTCGTTGGCTATAATCTCAACTCTACCATTCTTGTAAACACCAACACTGTGGACAAAATTACTAACTGTTTAACATGAACTTCAACGAGTTTTTATCTAAATTGATGTTATGTATTTAACATAAATAATTTCAAATATTTGTATGTTCTTCTTTCATTCATAGTTTATTATTTGTATTATTAAACATTAAAATTAAAAAAAATGTATAATACTGTTATTTTGTCCCAGATTATTGAAGCATAAAATTATTATTTATAATATAAACTTACCATGAATATGTGGTACCCAAGTCAATACCAATGACAGTACCAATATCCTTGTCTTTTTCCTTCTTTTCCTCGGCGTAGACCGCCAGGACGCAAGCTAGCGCCAATAAATACCACCGCATTTTGTGCGATTGCAAGATTCTAAAATAAAAAAAATAAGTTTTAAAAAGGGTCTTCAAGAATTTAATGCTTCATCGAAGCATCTAGAAATAGACTTAAGTTCAATAAACTGTTGAAGGACAGTTAGGAGAGCTTTAAGATCATGCCTCGTAATCTGATTTCGCAGGGACACGTCATTGTAACGTGTCAAGTAAAAGTACCTATCTCACCGAAACACGTACTTAGAACGGTTAATGAAACTGAAAGTAGGCTATAACGGAAAAGATAACGGTATAATAAATAGTTAACTGGGCCATCGCGCCGGCCCGTTAGGAATTACGACGGCCTCTCCAAAAGCGAGATGTCATCGAGAAACTTCTTTGACGTGTTAGATATGCTTCATTACACTTTTAAAGATTTATAGCAAAAGTAATAAAAAAATTAAACTATTTTGATATCTATAGAAACTTGTTAATGAATATAGCTTTAATAGTTACTAACAGGATGCCGCAGCCCGCAATAGATCATTGAAAAAGGTTATAATTTAAGGTAAAAATCTCTGAAATTATATAATAATTATTAATTTTACCGAATCTTACCTTAACTAATAAAAAACGTATTATATGAATTAACGTTGCACTTCCACTGTAGTAGAGCACTTTATACGATTTGAGCGCATACACTTTTCACAGTCTTCAACGTACAATGGCTTGGGAAAAACTGAAATTGTCAACGCAGACGTCGCTGTTATTTAGCATTAGAGTTGAGCGTGTGCTAATGTGATTGGTCAATCAAATGATGATGCTTTACAGCGGCGCTCTTGATTGGTTCAAGTAAACTGATTTGTTTTAATGTGATTGGCCCACGTTTATTACTGGCAAGTTTACTCATGCGGAGGTGTACCGATATCGCCACGCAAGTGGATGACGAAGTTTTGGCGTGAATTTCAAAATATTATCAAAGCCGAAAATTATTTCGTAACTACACTGACCTAATATTTTAATAGTTTTTATTTCATTCTCATTGAAGAAATTTCGATTTAATTATATTATATCATAACAAGAATTATGATCTACAATACTTCGTACAATCCATCATTTAATCTATAATATTGTATATTTCCTAAAAGAAAATATCATTAGCCCTATATCATCAGTAGGTACATCATAAAACCAAACAATTAATTCTAGGAATAACATTTACGCGGACGTCGCCATGGATTGGAGAGATTTCAGCTAGGGACGAAACGTCCTTTTTTTTTAAATTTATTGCTTAATTAATAAACCAATAAGGCATGGTTTTACTTGTACAGTCCACGTTGAAATTTTTAATTGCTCTATACAACTTATACTTTTCCCATCCTCAACCACTTTTACTGGCCTCCTGCCCCTCCTTGGACAACCGGCTGACGACGCCCCTGAATATGTGGCTTTAGGCTTTTAAACCTGTTTGCTGAGGTAATTTTAAAGAAGTTTTGTACATTGGACAGGCACATATAATACGCATCTTTATTGCACCTACTAGATGATTTTTTTTGTAAAATTTGTGTTCACCGTAATTGTCATGTATTTTAGAATTATTGATAGAATTTAACTTATACTATAGAATTAGATATGATGTGGCGTCCTATTATAATTTAATAAAATAAAGCAGTTTCTGCTTCAATTTGCTTTTATTTTGGGGATCATTTGCGGGAATAAATAATAAAGTACACTCATATAAAAATGTATTAAAACCATCACAACAGAAATTGTACTTAAAACAATAAATTGAGCAAATAAACCAATTATAGGAATAACAATTTTTAGCACCAATTTATGCAATTAAAAAAAACATTACAATTAAATTGAATTCACATCGATACAACCTAATATACACATAGCTAATTGTTCCTTATGGCCTTAAAAATATAATTATTTGACAGAGTTTGCCTTAGTTTATCTAAAATTAAAACAGCTTTATTTCGCCTTATATTAGTTATAATATATTTTTTTAATAAACAGATTTATCAATTATCGTGTAGGTATGATTTGTGAACCATTCAATGTTTTTTCGCTAAAATATTTAAAATCAGAGGTGCGAAGTAGGTAATTATGCAGTCGGCGCCTGGAAAAAAATAATTATTAAGAAAAACTGTAAATATAATAGAAGTTACGGTTAAAGTTACTATATTGAGTATAATGACTCATGCATATTATTTGGATAGTTCTAGAATCTACAGAAGTTTTCAGCAAGCTGAAATATAATTTCGAGCTCCTTACGCATAGTAATAAACTGTAAATTAAATAAAGTTACCCCCTGTGTTTCAGGTTTCAGAGCAATGGTAGTTGATGCTACCTTTTTTTAGGAGTTTTCTGGACTGATTAATACCTCTTTGGTCAAGGAACATTCTAGAACTTTGTGCAACAAGGATGGACTGAAGTACGATAGCGATAAAGAGCACGAATATTCGAGACTTTTAAGTACTACTCTTTCCTAGAAAGTTCTAGAATGTTCCCAGTGATATTTAAGCGAGCCGGAACGCGGGCGGCCAGTTCAAATCTTGAACGCGATTACGAGCAATACTCATTCAGAGATAAACGTGCGAGTCCTTTGAGAAGTGAATAATTACTGTGAAATGGCACATTACGCGTTAATTACAGTAATTAGCGACAGTGTCTCGCGCGTGTGTTAATGTGTCTTAGTTTTGATTTTCTTAATTAAAATCCTCTTGTGTTATTTTTAATAAACTCTCAAAGAGTTGAAACGGCTTTTTGGTTTCAGAATTGGGTATAGAAAAATGCCAATCACTGCAAGGGTCCAGCAATATGAGTTTGTTGCAGCCACTAAAAACAATCTTCTTGTTATGAATCTAACGATGAAGACACAGGCACAGACGAAGAAGAACAGGCACGTCAAAAGGAACAGGCACGCAAATCCATGGAGAAACAAGCTCATCGTCCAGAGTAACAGGTCGTCACCACTCGACGGCACCCCAAGCAATGAATGAGGACTTGAAAATCCATTAGGTTGAACAACGTGGAAAGAATACATTTCAGACTTTCCAAACAGGAGAAACAAATGCTTGCCTATCCTTGTCACATTCTACAAAGTTTAATCTAGAATGTTCCTTTGATAATCAGTCCAGAAAACGGCTTAAAACGGGTGCTCCGAAAATTGCACCCGATATTACATTTCTCTGATAGGGAGGGTAACTTTATTAAATTCATGAGTTTTCTACGTGTTAGAGGCTTTCTGTAAACGGTCCGAAATCTTATTTAAGAACGCTGAAAACATATTTTTGAAGTGAAACTTCTTTCGGCGCATGAGGGTAAATTTTTTATACGGAACGTCACGAAAATGTGCAGCGTTTTTGTCGAAGAAAAGGGTGAGAGCGATTGAGACTTAATACATATCAATATCATAATAATAAGTATCTAAATTACCATTTTTTTTTGTTTGTTTTGTATTTTTATAAGTGCACAGAAGCAAGACATTTTTTGCTAAGACCATATCTGCTATTTTAGAAAATGTGGCAATTATGATAATAATAAATTTGTTATATTATTTGGTAATTGTTACCATATTTATGGTGGTATTTCTATACACATAACAACAACTAATTTTAGTTCTGGTTTTTAATTAGCCTTAGTATCATTAATTAATATAGAAAGACTGACAAAATTATATTATGGGATTTGGGCAGCTTAATTACTCAATAATTAATTTACAATGAAGTTTCACTTCTGACGTGTACTTTGTACGCACGCACTTTTTTTTTTATTCTAGAAAAATCGAGAACGCTTGTCATTCATCCGGTTTCGATAACAATATATTCAATATAGAATTTATTTAGCAATTTACCCTTTTTATTAAAAATATAAAAAAACGGCGTATTTTTTTAAATCATCAAAGATCAGTATTTTATGGATTTGCTTTCACTGTTATTATTATATTTTTATAACGAAATAGTTCCGATAAAGAAGGATATTAAACTGTAACAAACGCTTTCGTTTTTCATAGCCAACCCTCAACACAAAGATTAAAATAAACAATTTCCTTAATTTAAAAAAAAAAATATATTGATAATATACCCGCTCTGCGCATACATAGCAGTGTCTCCATAAGAACAGCCTCCATTTCACTTCCCTCACCACTTTTGGATATCATAGCATATTCTCCAGACACCTATAATCAAGTTTATACGTGTAGCGAACAGTCAAATACATAATTTTAATTATATAAAAAGTGGGTAAGATCCTGTACTTGTTTAGGAGCTATAATGTGCCCCTTGGACTACAATTTAATTAGATTAAAAAATATAAATGTAGCATAAAAGTCGATCTGAATAGTCGAAGGTGAGGTTAAAACATTGTTGTCAATAGATAACAAATAGTATTTATAGGTTTTTAAGAGACATGTTTCTGCTTGTTTTCTCGATTCAATCAAGTCTAACAAGGCCGATATGTCTATTGTCTATACATGATTCTCGATTTGACCGTACCGTAGATTTTATCTTAAGTCTCGTTTCTGAATCTCACTATTGGCGCTAACTATGACTCCCTTTAACGAATGCCATAGAGTGTGGCCAATGAAAGAAGATATTTGAATTATTTGAAAACTTTCGGATGGCAACACAGATTGTCATTGAATTTCTTAGGTTAGTATGATTTATTGTCTTGATACTTCATGCAATTACTCATTTTTTTTTCTATTATATATTTTTTCCGAATAGTTAACAGGTATAATAGCCTAAACTTTGTTTTATTGATTTTTGGATTCTAATTTTTATAATTCCGAATAATATTGTGTTTTAAAATAAATATAGTTTTAGTTTTCCATGCCATGCTAGTCATTTAAGTATCAATAGTAAAATACTAAATACGTATAGTATTTAATTTCATGGAAAAACAGTTACTATCAATGTAAAAAATAATAAAATAAAATCAAGTATCACGTAAGTTTAATCCACAAAATATATCAAACTTTTAGGGATACCATAATATATTTTTTTTAATTTGCCGCACTTTTTCGTTATCTTCTTTCATTAGCCAGACTGGTTAGCTTCCCTTATTATTCTCAAATACTTTGCTTGTAGTCTTTGAATGTAAACAAAAGAGACAAATACTTCGTCCAATTGTTAAGTTCGTACGTTTAATTTACAACTACAACAGCTGCTAAATATACCTGGTATATAAACAGAGGATGATTGGGGTAACGGTCTTTTGTCTGCCGCACGATGTCGAGGTATGGAAGACCAGGTTTTACCATCAAGAAGTCTGCTCCTTCGGCAACATCACGTGCCTGCGATAACATTTAATTTAATAACTTTCAAGTTTAGAAATAAATCACCTTTTATTTAGATAATGATAGTGCTCTATACTGAAAAATATAAATTTTAATTAATACATGCAAATCAAATCCTACGCCCTAATGTATATAATAAACCTGGGACCGCTTGATGAACTACTTTAAATTAAAAATATATATATATCTAATATATAAAATTCTCGTGACACAATATTCGTTCCCATACTCCTCCGAAACGGCTCGACCAATTCTTATGAATTTTTTATGCATATTCAGTAAGTCTGAGAATCAACTACTATCTATTTTTCAAACTCTAAGTGATAAGGGTCCACACCAAAAAGAGCATGACATCCTTCATCTACAGCGTTCGTATATGATAAAAGAGTTTTATTTAAATTTGTAGCACTCGCATAAACCAAAAACCGGATTTATATTTCCGAAGCAATTCGACGTAGGGTCCTTTAAAAAAAGAGCCCTCTGGCAATGTGAGTGTCCATGGGCGGCGGTATCACTTAACATCAGATGAGCCTCCTGCCTGTTGGCCTCCCATTGCATAAAAAAAACAATGTAATACCATTAACTATACAGACTATACCCCTTAATCTTAAAAACTACATCAGTAATCAATACACTATTAAAAAAAGTATTGATCCGTCTCATTGAACTGCGCCGTTGACAGTTTGACAGAAATAGACGAATAAGTCCATGAACTTAAACAATAAAAATGGACTGAAGTGGTTGTTATAAATTAGGGGTTAGAGGTTACCCCATTTATGACATAAACTTTTTTGTTTATCACGTGTCATAAATCATATATATTTTAACAATGAACGTACCGCAGCCCTGGCAGCGAGTCCAGAACTGCCTGGTGGCAGCTGGTAACACTTTCTGTCACCGGCCATAGGAGAGCTCTTCATTGTATCTCTGAACGGACCATACATGGATGAAGCGAACTTGCAGGAATACGATAATACTGACACCTGAAATAAACATACATTTCACAACATATATTTCATACTACTACAAAATACAAAAATATATAATGTATACATATATGTATGTTGTATACGAAAAATGTGATTTATAGTATATGTACAATTGTATATTCAGCGTGATAAATAGGGTCATCGAAGTACAAACATTTAATCATAACTGGTAAAATGATTAATAAATATAAACTACAAAAGAATAGGGATTTAAAAAAAAAAAAAAAAAAACATGGCGATTAAAAAGAGTGGCGGAGAGTTTATTGCCAGTTCTTCTCTTCCGTTCTACGCCCTTGTTTTGAGAACTGGCAGTAAATGTAAAATTAGAAGCATTAATATTTATTTCTTTAATGACGAATCACAAGTGTACCAATGTACACTTGTGATTTATTCACGTAGGTAACACAATTGTTACCTACGTGAATAAATGATTTTTGAATTTTGATTACGTGACCTTATGACTGTCAAAAACATTTATGACATACGGGACTCTGACTTAGCACTTAGTCTCCCTTAACCTTACCCTTACTGTGGTCTAGTTAGTAACTACTAACTAGTAGTAGAGTCCTGATACAGTACAATAAATGTCCTTTTATTAATAGAGAAGCTTGAATAAAAATAACTAGCTTACGTAATTATTTCCTTTATCTTGAGAATATAATAATTATTATGTCCATGATATTGATACATTTATATAATTTGCTCGAATTAATTCACGTAAATTAGAATAAGGTCACGTTAAACAAACAAAGCGAACACGTCGTTGATCGTGATACCAGACGAAATATTCTTGATTATATGTTTTGAATTAAGAGCGTTTTTTTTTGTTTGATTACCGGTTTGCATAATGGTAATAAAAGTAAGTGTTACATCACCTTAACGATGTATTTGATTATATGACATTTTTCTTTGATGTCTTTAATCATATCTATCGATAAAATTAACGAAGTTTTGTTTCGAAAGCGAATCACGAACAAGAACAAGTAACCCAGATCTCTAGAACTAAAAACTTAGAGATTTTTCCTGAACTTAATTTAACTACATAAATGATTTATAATAAATAATCTCGGATACAAAAAAAAATCAATCGAACTCATGACCGAAGGGTTGAGACACTAACTACCTTTATTTTTACGAGATATTTTTTTATTTGGAGATGCATTTTATCGTTATTAAGGTATAATCGAATAATTATGACAATTACCGTTAACCTCAGTTGAAATATGATAATTTTTATCAGTTATTTATAACAAATGCCCTTGTGTATATGAACATGTACGAAACAAATAAATTTAATTTTATGAGTTTTTTAAAGTTACTTATGAGTTTTCTACGAAAGTACAAGAAACTACGAATACGTCGGAAGAAACGAACGGCTGTCAAATTCAAATGCGTTTTCTATAGAACAGTCGACGACTCGTTGCAATTACGACTTGTATTTTGAACATACGAACTACGACTGTTTCGTTCCTTAATTTTCTTTATGGAAATTAAAATGAAGCTTGTTTCTTCTAAATAAAAAAATATATGTTTGCGGTCATTCCCAAACAAACCGAATGCTTCCTTAAGCGGGCCATAGACAGACCGCATGTTGCAGCCGATACCGACTGCTCTTAGCGGTCGCTGCACGGCGATTTGCAGTTTTCATACTAAATTCATATTCGCAATACTGAATACACGAACCGCTCGAGCAGTTCCTGAATCCTGAGCAAACCGCCTGCAACATGCGGTCCGTCTATGGCCCGCTTTAGTTGCGAAGTATAAATTCTATAAATTAAAATTATTATAGTTTAAATTTAACTAAATATAATAAATATAAATATAAAATTTAACATTATATAATCAGGATTGTGAATCTTCTATAAATATAATCATATAATCTTCTCTAATAAACATTTTTAAAATTAACTTCTTAAATGCATATTGTTTAAATAATAATCTTAATTGATGTAATAAATTTAAATTTATTTTGTTATATGAATATACATATATAAGGCACTCAAGACCTGATTTTTCACATACCAGACTGACTTTTACATAATCTTTGTATGCCTATATGTATATATTTTATCTAATCAAATTGTGTTCTATTTTTTATATAGGTACAAAAAAATTAAAACTCGTTATAATATTAACTTAATGTATCCTGTATAGACTTATAGAACCTGTTTTACCTGATTCTGCAACTTATTCTCGAATAGCGCGTCTTTTATTGCTTTAATTCTGTTGTCCATCATATCCGAGGGGGCTACTATGTGAGCTCCTGTAATTATAAAAAGAATATTATACTATTGAATTATTTGGGGATTTTTTTATTTAAATAGATATACTATGTTTATAACTAGGCTAACTATTGATTTTAATGTGTATAATGTGGAAATGGTAAATCAAGTTGAAAAACGCTGAATGCAGAATTACAAATAAATTATTATTGGAGCTGTTTGTACCTTCCATATTAAGTTGTTACCCTGATAACTCTTACATTAAACTGCTAAAGTAGTTGTGCATAATTATAGAATTATGTTTATACTGACATGACTATATATTATATATAAGAGTATATAATAAGTAATTTTACTACGTCCATGAGCTTAGTAGTAGTATATAATAATAATAGAAGTTGTAGCCTAATTTGTCTCTACATTATGGTCTCTATGTATTTTATTATGGAGATACTAATTAATAAACTCCATAGAACCTGCTATACAGACACATATTAAATTACACCATATTTTGCAGTTTGTGATTTTTTTTTCAACTAAATTAATCAGCAACACCACAAAGTTTTTGATTAAGCTTGCAAACCATGTTGGTTTAGGAAATACCTGCTTTAGCATAGGCTAGAGACACTTCAGCAATTCTTTTGACTGATTCAGGATGGTCTATTGCCCCATTGGTCAATATGCCACAATGCCCATGGGATGTATATGGACATAAACACACATCACATGCAATTACAAGGTTTGGCAATGCTTCTTTAATTTTTGGCAAAGCTTTAATAACTGGGTTTTCTGGACAGTCAGCACTGGAGCCTGTTGGGTCCTAAAAACAATATTATTATTATTCTTTGGGTTACTGTATTTTATAATAATACCACATTTATGGTGTAGTGAAATATACATATACACGGTATATTGGAGGTCCTGACCACTTAAATGTAACCTTTAGCACTGCAATATGTCTCCCCAATTAAGTTTTAACTTTTACAGTTCACAGAAAATAAATAAGTTTTATTAACAAGGTATGGAATATTGAATATAGAATTACATACTATGTTTTACCTTGGGTAAAGTTTCAACAATACCAAATATAAGAATTGATTGAAGACCCCTATCAACCAATTCTGTTAAAGCTGGTATCAATTTGTTGATACCATATCTGTACACATTTGGCATACTAGATACAGCTTGCATGGCATCTTTGTCTTCCCTAAAATCATTGCAATACTATGAATAATAATAAAAACCATTAATACAATAATAAAATATTAACTTATTGCTGGTGGTTATTAATATTAAATATAATAAATAAGTCCAGCAATTCAAAGTTGATAAGGTAACGTAATTTAAAAGTTTATAATAAAAATAATTCAGTGTTTAAATGGATGAAACGTACAGTAAAAAAACTGGATACATTATGTTGTGCGGCTCGATGCTTGTATTGGGTTCTTGAAGTTTTCTTAAGGTGGCATGAAAGTAGCCCCCTTGGAGAACATGTTCCGGGCTCAAGAAGAGGTCACTCATTTTCCTGTTACAAAAATACTTGTTCACGTAGATATTTTAATTATTGGCCTATTCACTTCAGCCAGACTTTAATTCACACAGGCAGGTTAACTCAAATAAACATAAAATACGTATACACAATATAGTAAAACTTAATTCATTGCTGAATGTACAATCAAGATTCAAGACTAAAAAGTAAAAATTCAAATTTAAAAATATTTCTAAAAGTTGTCATTTGTCAGCAGTCAGGATAAATTAAAAATTATAAACACAGTAATAACAAAGTTTACATAATGACAATATATAAGTAGTCTACAGGGATTACATTTAATACTCATACTCTGTGGCTGTAATAGTTCTTCGCCTGTATTAATATCATCTTTTTCTTTGGTTTTATTTGTCTGTGGCAAGAAACATACTTTGTATAAACTATAATTTTATTTATCGATTTATTTAGTATTTACATTTTACACAAAAGAAACAAAACATTATGCGTTGAGTAATTACAAATATAATAAATTAATAATTTAATCTTAACACTTATTAACTATTTTAAATAACTATAAATATCAATTTCTTGCTAACAAAATGTAATTCAAAGTGTTGCGAACAAGAGTTCGTGTATTTTTTTTTTTGTCGCGTAATATTAAAGTATCTATTTTAGGTAAATACTATGTAATTATTTACATTAATTATTAAGAATAGTACAAATAAACTATTAAGTTAAGCGAGGGTGAAGCCTTGACCTCGTCTGAGCTGTCGCAACCTTGAAAGCAACATGCACACGGACGACGACGACCCCACAAACAAGAAAAAAGACAAAATCGACACGTCGCCAGACGATCCTGCAGTAAAAGTAAACATAGAATCTCCCAAAAAAGACACGAAAGAAGATCCCAAGCCCCGTATTGTTTTAACGTTTCGCTCTGATAAATCAGGTGCTAAAAACAGCAATATGAAAATTGTTTGTACAGAGGAAAAACACGAAGAAGCACCTAGACGTTCGAATAGAAATCGCAATGCTAAGTGGGAATCCGACGATGAAGACTCCCCCAAGAAAGATAAAAGCCAAGTGGCTTCAGAGAGTGATGAAACATCTGACAGTGTGAAGCCGAAACATTCCGCTCGAAGACGTGGTAAAGAAGGATCAGATGTCTTAGCCAACGCTATTGCTAGAAAGGAGAAGTATAATGAAGCTGCAAGTACATCAACTAGGCTATCCCGTAGGATAAAACCCACAGCTAAAGCATTAGCTAATGAGGAGTTACGTATGTATGTAGAGCTACAAAACAATTCTCGGTTAGGCATTACAGATAAATCCCCTGAAGAGGGAGTCAAGACTAGGAGGTCAGCTCAAAAGGTGGATCACAGTAAGAAAATGGAAGATAGTACAGGAGAGGATAGTGATAATTCAGAGATGAAACTAAAACATCTTTGTGGCTTGGGTTTAAAATCTGTTGAAATGAAAACAGATGAGGAATCTGTAGAAGGTGAAGCAGAAAACAGGTATAAATCGATTTCATTTATAAAAGGTATTTTTACATAGTTTCTGTTGAATGTCAGAAATTTTCAAAATAAATATTTAACAGTAGCTTCTGCCTACAAAGTAATATTTAAACACATTTTAATCCAGACAATATAATATAGAACATTTTGTAAGGGAGTCTATTATGTAAGTTAGTCATTACATAATATGTAAGCTGACCCTTTAATTTTGTCATCTGTAGCTCTGTACAATTCCAAGGAAAGTATGATATCTTCCTTTAAGAAGATCTTCTTTCAGGGAGTCTGAAAGAGAGAATGAAGAAGGAGAAGATGATGATACAGAGGTGATTGTAAAGCTTCTTGAGGCAGATGAAGACAGTGGCAGTGTCAGTAGTGGAGATTACTTCCTATGTTCTAGTGCATCACAGGTTGATAAACCTCGTCGTTCGAGAAGGCTCTGCTCTATGTATGGCACTAATGATAGTGATCATTCCTCTCCTATATTAATTGATGAAGAACCATTGTAAGTAATAACTGAATCAATTAAGAAGGACTTTGAAAAAAAAATGCTGCTTCTTAATAAGTTTAATGTTGTTATTGGATTAAAATGTGTTAACTTATTGGAGTTTACAACCCTAGTACAGGCCTATAAGTATGATGGAGCTGATGATGGTAAAATTGGTAAAAATATTTATTGAAAGGTGAACATTGATAAATACTAGTTTAAGTAAAAACTTACAAGCTTTATGTTGTGTTTACAAGTGATATGTGATATTATCAACACAAATTATCAAAATTTTGTATGATTTGCTGTTAGACTTCTTTGCAAAGTGGTTGTCTTGTTTAACTGTTAGTTATTCTTCCAGGGTTACAACACGAAGAAAATCTAGAAGAGCAAATACACGTCCTAATGAAGATCATGAAAGGTAAAATGTTCTAATCCAAAAATAAATAAGTGAATGACTCCCTGAATTGACATATGCTAAGTCTAGACTCTTGAACTCAAATGTTATTTTTATAATTAAATTCTGCCCTCACACTGAAATCACTGGAAAGAATTTTGGTCTCCAGGTAAAGATACAATCACAGGTACTACTGAACTGATTCTGAAAAGTTCACCAGTAGTACTCTACATTTCTGAGTTTGAGTTAATAATAATCTTTAAAGTTGGACAGAGCACTGGCAAGCTTCCTTAATGTATAAAAGACAGCAGAGCGCTTTAAAATAATATTGGACTTTATTTGGTCAAGGCGAAACTTTATTGTAAATACACATAATACTATGATAGACCTTGCATTTTAAGAGAACCTAAAATTCTTCTAGATAGACATAGTAATTTTAAAATCTGATTATTCCAGAACCCCAGCATCTAAAAAGCAAAGAACGAATTCTTCTGCTGCTGAGGATGATGAGGATCAGGAGGAAAATAGGTAAAGAAAAATTGGTATTAAAACATTTTATACAGGCTTTATCCTGTTATATTGCTGAACCAAATATTAAAAAAAAAAATAGTTATAGACAGCCAAGGATACTATATGTTAAAAAATGTTAAAGAAGAGAATTTTAAACGATTTTAGGGAGGTAACCAATTGTGGTAACATATAGTTATAAGGACCTCAGAATTTGTATTCATTTTTAAGATAAGAGGAAGAAAATCACAAAATTTAAAAGTAGGTCATTATCGTAACGATGATAATTAGCCGATAGACACGCTGTCAGGGAGTTGATGAAGATAGCAAATAAAAGAGGCGAAAGTACGCTACCCTGCGGAACACCAGTACTTTATATTATTCTACTGAGAGTGGGTATCGTTTTTTCTAATACCCTGGCGATGATTAACAACTTAATATTGTCAATAAGTGATAATTTGTAAACCAAAATATATTAAACAGAAATCAAAATTTTCATCTATTGATTGCCAGTAATTCGGCGCCCGCTGATGAAGGCCCAGCTGCAGCTAGTCCTACTGGATCCAGCACTGTGTTCGCTACTTGCACCTGTGAAGAAACCACCAGCAATATTCATGCTTTAGCTTCTGATTTAATTGGTAAGTTTTAGTGTACTTCTGTAGAATTTTTTTTTTTTTTATGTAACAGAGGGCCAACAGGCAGGAGGCTCACCTGATGTTAAGTGATGCCGCCGCCCATAGACACTCACATTGCCAGAGGGCTCGCAAGTGTGTTGCCGGCCTTTAAAGAATTGGTATGCTCTTTTCTTGAAGGACCCTTAGTCGAATTGATTCGGAAAAAACATCGGTGGGCAGCTTGTTTGTCGACGGACGTTGAGGTGATACAGATAAAACTCCATGTGGGGCCGAATTTGCGCTTTATACAGTTGTAAGCGGCGGCCCAGAGTGAAGTATGGTCTCGCCTTGTCTGAGCAGACCAACCTTTTTAGAGGCTAATTTAGCCTTCCCTTCCAAATGACCGCGAAACTGAACGTCATATGATATGTCAACGCCCAGAATTACATTACAGTCCGAATTATACTTCGTTTGTTTATTTGGATAATATGGCAGTTAGAAGGGTCGTTTATGGGTCTCATGACTTATTAATTATGTATATAAAATGGTGATATAAGCGTAGATCGAATGGTGAGTAATACATCCTGCAAAAACCCCTTTAACTTTTAATCTCTTCAGAACCAGTATTCTGTCAAGCGATAGAGATAGTCGACGGCCTAAGGGTAGGATGTTCTCACAAAGCGCCCCGCGACGATGAAGGAAACTTATTGCCATTGCGTAGATCTGGTGCTAGGGCTCCATATTTAATACTATGCAAACTGCATTTGGCGCAAATGGAAAAACATATGTGCTGCCCCGCCTGTGGACTCTTCTGTACACAGGTAAATACGTTTCTTTTCAAATAATTAATAATATATATGAGCAGGCCCTGACCTTAAAGAAAATAGCGTCTATTCCGTTCTAACAATTCTTCCGTCCAAAAAAACTAGTGGGGCTACAAACTTTTAGATCTAGGCTTCAAATTTTTCAGTTACCTTTCTTAATAGGCCTATTCATTCTAAGCAGCCTGACTGCATGCCGGTTTCTTCACGATGTTTTCCTTCATCATATGAACCAATGTGGAAGACTGGTGCAGCTTGAGTTCGAACCCGTCTAGGTCTCTTCAGGGATTATAGTCGCACATTGAAGCCACTACGCCAGAGATTTTTTTAGCTAATTACCCGATCATATTGTCGTCGAGGTATAAAGTAAATTATGTTCGTAATATTATCATTAGCAAAAAAGCAATTGTAACTTGTATAAACTTTTACTGTTAACAACTTTTTGTATTATTTTTACAGCAAATTTTAGAATGTCTCTAAGATTTTGTACACATTATTTCTTTGAAGTCGGTCTCTGTTATGTTCATTCCCTACGCCAGCTATTGTGCTGTTTATCTCTATACATCTAGAGACTAAATTTGTTACGTCATAATTATGTTTTTTGTTATTATTAATAGTTTATTTTACACGGTGATAAGTCACAATTTGAAGAAGATTATTTTTTATTCTCGATTTTCACTATCATATAAATTCCCTGAACAATTTGCTTTATACTTTAGGCGGATGAGGGTAGAAATTTTACGGATGAAACGCAATAATAATAATATTATCGTCACGAAGATGTACAGCGTTTTTGTCGAAGAAAAAGGAGAGGGCGATTGAGACCGATTGAGAGAGAGTGAGAAAGGGCGAACGTAGCATCACGCACAGTGCCATGGAGCGAGAGGTGGGAGAGAGCTATAGTGAGAAATATTGAGATAGAGAGTGTAAGGGAGATCGAGATTAAATACATGCTATTGGTTGATGTTTTCGTATAGTAGTCACATATTAGAACTTAAGATGGCAATTCTGTCACATAACGTCTTGTGTGGTAAACGCAGATTTTTATTTATTTTATTATTTTTATATACAGTGTGTAGACTGTAGACAATATAGATATACAAATACATGGAGTGATCATACACTGGTACATGATCATCTATTGGGGCTTTTACCTTAGTAATAATTAATTATGTGTTGAACATTTCGTATATAAATTGGTTTAAATTAATTGATTTATGTGAAACGTTATTCCAGGGCTCTTTCTACCAATGTTCGGAAAATCACTTATTCCACCTGGAATGTGGTGTTCCATACGGGGAATCTCGTTCCCCTGGCTGTCCGCATTGCGGCGTACTTGCCTTCCCTTGGCGAGCATATAATACAAGCGCACGAAAAATTCAACTGACAATGCATTGCTCGAATAAACGTGTTTATTTGCCGGATCAGAGGGAACATTGGTAAGATTATTTTATTTAATTCTTCTATTTTATATAAGAATTTCATAATGCGCAACAAATTCACCTCTATTTTATGGCATAACTTGTCAGAAATTATTTTTTGTCGCATATGAACTCGCCTGTTTACCATATGCCGACAGCGATTTGTATCTTATATCGGCCATATGAGAACTTGGAGAAACTGATCGTGGTTGGTAACACAGAAGGCAAAAGATCACGTTCAACAACCAGATGGGGGAGCGTTCAAGTATTACATAACGAATTTTGGGGGCGGGTCCTTTTGTAAAACGTTACGATGCGGGGCGGGGATTGAATTACGCGTTTTTGTTAATATTAGGTCCTTACATATGAAATTGGCGTTTTTCGTACTGGCCACTTTAATCACGATGTTCTCCTCTTTGGTAAGGAATTCCAAATTCAAATTTGTACAGCTATTTACTCATGTATTTGTGCTTCGATGACCGTCATTTATTTGTTTTTTTCTTCTGTTTTTTTCTGTTTGCGTCACTCTTTTTACAAAATGGAAAACTTAAAGTATCGCATTATTTACGAGTACGAGTTCCGCCGTGGCACTAGTGCTGCGGAAACGACTCGAAGGGTGAATGATGTGTATAGCGGTCATGTTGCAAAAGAAAACACAGTTCGTTTTTGGTTCCAACGTTTTCGTTCTGGAAATTTCGACCTGCAGAACAAGCCCCGTGGACGGCCTGAGACCCAAGTTGATAATGAAGTATTGAAGGCTATTGTGGAAGCGGATCCATCGCAAACCACGTCCGAGTTAGCTGCAGGCTGCGGTGTTAGTGATAAAACTGTTTTAATTCACTTGAAGCAAATTGGGAAGATTAAAAAGCTTGAAAGATGGGTACCTCACGAATTGACTGAAGCAAACCGGCAAACGCGCGCCGACTACTGCGTTACATTACTGAACCGGCACAATAATGAAGTGATGAAAAATTGATTCTTTACGATAATCGGAAGCGCTCAGCGCAATGGTTGGATCCTGCCCCAAGCGAAAATTAACCCCAAAAAAGTTACTTGTAAGCGTTTGGTGGACTAGTGCCGGTATTGTTCATTGCAGTTTTCTCAAATCTGGCCAGACTATTACGGCTGATGTCTATTGTCAGCAATTGCAAACCATGATGGAAAAGCTAGCGGCAAAACAACCTAGGCTGGTCAATCGCTCCACGCCACTGCTACTTCACGACAACGCTAGACCACACACTGCACAACAGACGGCTACCAAATTAGAAGAGCTTCAATTGGAATGTCTAAGACATCCTCCGTACTCCCCGGACCTTGCTCCAACAGATTACCATTTTTTTTCGAAATTTGGACAACTTCTTGCAAGGGAAAAAATTTAACTCTGATGGGGCAGTCCAAATCGCCTTCACAGATTTTATTGATTCCCGTCCGACTGGTTTTTTTAGTAAAGGGATCAATGAACTACCTATGAGATGGCAAAAGTGCATAGAAAACAATGGTTCATACTTTGATTAATTAAATATATTATATTTAAAAATATTCGACTTTTTGTTCCTCACATACAAAACGCCAATTTCATAGGTATGTAAGGACCTAATATTATTTTCGAATTTCCAGTACTTTACACCACATAATGGTAACTTTTAGGTATAAAGAGTCACTGGGTGGTTAAGAAACGTTTTACCATTGGGTACAGAAAAACGTTACGGCGCGTTACATGGGGGCAGGGGGGGTCAATATTCTCCGAAAATTGCGTGACGTAATACTTGAATGCTCGCTGGACCGATCAAGTGGAAGACTCATCATCCTCAAAACTGTCATAAGAGAGGCATTGGACAGACACCGGTGGATGATCAGCTTCAGATGCTTCCTCGCTGGCTATGACGCTGAGACATGAACTGCCGACTGAGGAGAGAGTCAGAAATTCTAAAGACTTAATTGTAGAACAATGAAGATATATTATAGAAACTAATACAGTAACCATATGTTCGTCTTATAAAATGTCAGAACAGAATTCATTAAAACAAATTAATTAATAATTAATTTTTTTAATACCTTACAGCACTCCAGCATACCTAAGTTTTACACCCATAGAAGAGTCGAAAGTGGACCGGGGACCAATATTCCCTGAGGATCTTGTACCTCTTTTGCCAGATTTGGAAAAAATGTGTGAATCTGTCGATTTTGAGTCTGGTGACTGCATGGCTTTTAAGCTATATGAAGGAATTATTGCAGAAGAGAATGTGGAGTTGTTAATACCGAAAATTGGTGAGTATTTAGTAAAAGATCACGTATCCTATGACAGTTATTTTTGTTTCATAAAATTCAGATCATGACTATGAATAGGGAATAATAAACCAAATGTATATACATATGTGTGTAAATACAATGTGATTATAAAAGCACCGTCAGCAAATAGAATGTCAGTTCGAGAATTTAATAAGTAAAAAATATGTATAACTGAGATTAGGATTTTCTTTACCTGTTAGAATACATCAACATTTATATGTACAAAGATCAAATATTATAAAGAAACTAGCTGACCTGGTAAACAAAAAATAGAGGTGGATCGTAGAGGGGTGAAAATTAAGGGTTTTATGTATTTTGCTACATTTAAAAAAAATTACCCAAAAAAAATAAATTTTCGGGGTGGACACCTCTTATCACTTAAGCCGAATTTACATTACGAAACTAGTGTTATGCATGTTGGAATGAGTTTCATGAAAATAGTTGCAGCACGTGTGCAACTACTTTAACAAAAAATAATAGTGTCGTGAAATCAACAGTATCACCAACGACATGGCTCTGTCAACATCAAAGCTTCATTTTGCGATGCAGAACGTCGTGGTACAGATGTTAATATATAAAATTCGAAAAAGGTTATCTCGAAAGAAAAGACGTTGGTGGATTCGAGGATGGGTAGGAAGAAAGCATTTGGGTGCAACGCGTTTCTCTATTTTTATATTGAGGGTGTTTTGGATCCCAAAGACACTCGTTACGCTGGTATTCGTTAATGAATTTTATATTTTTATCAACTGACCAACGTTGGTTTGCTATTTTGGCGGTCATTTAGCTGCACGATGCACTCAAACACACACGTCTGCCCTGTGCAAATGCTTTCGCGACACTAGTTTCGTGTCGCGTTTTCATCGTGAAAGTAGTTGCGTGACATTAGTTTTACAAAAAATATGCGCATGGCACGATTCTTAAACTTACTCAATATGCATAAAAAAATCATAAGAATCGGTTGAGCCGTTTCGCAGGAGTATGGGAACGAACATTGTGACAGGAAAAATGTATATATTAGATATTTTTAAATCAACAATTAATTAAAAGTTTTATTAATCAGTGAAAACCGAACTGAACACGCCAATAGCGGACATAGAAGGCGGGACGTGTACGCACGCGGCGGCAGTTAGCGGACAACTGGGGGCTTTATATCTTCTGCAGTACGCGGGAGCCGATTTGGACGCAGTAGACAATTTATCACGCACGCCGCTTATGAGGGCTGTTTTGGGTAAGTCAATGTGGACTGTTTATTTGTATTTGCAAATTCGTAGGTTATCTATATGATTAAGTAAGTTCGAGTTCATTCAAAATGTGCAGTGGCGTAACTATACCATCTGGGGCCCGTGGCAATTTTTTTTAATGGGGCTCTATCAGTAAAAATCGTCACTTTTTACTCAGTTTAATTTTAATAAACTTCGAGATTTTCAGCGTACTCAATTACACGTTGTATATGTTTCACTAATGGCCATAGGCCTCCCTTAGGCTAGAAGGAATGGTATGAAGTCCCCACGCCCACGCAATTGGGGACTTCACATTCGTCCATGGAACATAATATCTCTTGGGCAGGGGCCCTCTTGGGTCGGGGGTTCGTGGCATTTTGCCAGCCCTGCCACCCTTTTATTACCCCACTGATAATGCGATTTCCGAATGCATAAGTTGCTTTAAAAATACTCAAATAGCTTCAAGTGTTTAAAAACATCGATATTGATCATAACGGACCTTCAAATGGTCCCAATCATATTTTCTTTATTACAGAAAAATATTCTCTAAAAAATTATTCCGATGATTTCAAAACCGTTTCCTATTTTGAAGACTAATTTTTTTTTTAGCAATAACAATAATGCTAGTTTTTAAATGACATACATAAAGCTTCCAAACAGAGAAAGATCCAATATTGTAAGATAGAGGTAATTGTGTTGAGAGAATTTGCTTCCTATATGTCAAAATGTACTATATTTTGAATAACACATTTAAGTATTTCTGTACAATAATTTGAAAACTTACAGCTTTATTAGAAAAGGAGCCCGAAGAAGTTGATACAGCAATCAAAGAAAACGTAGAAGTGAAAAAAGAAGGTGATGAAGATAAGACTGAAGAGGCCATGGCTGTTGATGATGTGGTCAAAGAGGATGAAAAGAAGGTCAATAAAGATGATGTTATGAGGGTCATCAGGTTTCTTCTGGCTGCAGGTTGTGATCCTAATTTACAGGTATATTGAATTTAGACATTAACAAAAATAATATACGGCTATAAATCTGGAAACGACTAGACTAAAGATATAACTAATAAACATATATCTACTTTATATGTGGTATTTGTAGTGTATTCTCTGGCTGATGGCCAAGCTGTATAGCAAATTTCGACTTTAAAATTAATATAACAAATTTATCTATTTATTATAGAAGTTCTTAATTTTTCGATACAAATTGAGGCAAATGAGAGAAATATTGAAATTACTTTCAATATTAATTTTTAAATGACATTTCCACCACTCAAAACATTTATATATTCAATAGCTTTTGATTTAAGATTGTTGTCTATGGTTTAAATATTTAAAAAATCAAATCAGGGACCGGAAGGCATGACAGCTCTGCATATGGCGGCACAACATGGCGGAGTAGATGTTTGCACACTGCTAATAGATGGGGGTGGTCACGTGGATGCAAAAGAGCAAGGCGGCTGGACACCACTTGTTAGAGCCGCTGAGAACTGTCACCCGCAAGTTGTCAGGTATTTTTTGACTTCAACTAAGGGATTAGGCTATCAATTAGACTTGTATATATGTGATATTGTTTTATTTGATAATATTTCGATAATAGAGGCTTTAAAGCGACTTTTGTTATAGTTCGTAAATGTTTGTTACAAAATTATCATAAATCAAGTAAATTGTTGCCATTGCCTTATAGCTTTTGTAACCTGCTTTTTTTTATTTTTGTTATGTGTATGTTTTTCATTAAGGTAATAAAGTATAAATAAATTCCAAGATATGGTTTAACAAGTTCCATCAAAATTCGGAAAAGTAGTTTTTAAGATATGGGTATCCAAGTGTTTTTAGATGTGTAGAATCAAAACGACTTCAAAAACTTATCCATATATTTACCTATTTATATTGTTCCGTCTAGAAATGTGTCAATGTCAAAAAAGATTGAACCGATTTAAATGAAAATTGAATTGTTCCCAAAGTTGGAACTATATATGATTTTACATATATATACATACAGGTTAAACTGAAAACTTAATTTTTTTAAAGTCGGTTAAAGAAAAGTTTATTTTGTAGATTATTGCTCCAACGCGGCGCAGACGCCTCTTCAACAGACTGCGAAGGAAACGGTGTAATTCATTGGTGTGCGCTGTCGGGAGATGGAGCCTCTCTGCAATTATTGCTGGATGCTGCGCCGCACGTCGTTAATACGGCTAATGCACACGCTGACACACCACTGTATGTATAACACACACATATATATATATATATATAAGGAATATTATTATGGATTTTTTCTAAATGAAAACACAAAATTGTTTCTCTGAAATACAAAGAAACGACATTTAATGTCCACTTATCTATCTTTTTACACTATAATCCACTAAATTAATTTACACGTCATCCGCCATTTTATCGCGTGTCACTCCGACGCGTCAAATTCAAATTAATGAAATATCATTCCATTACATCTCCCCCCCTAAGAGAAAAAATTCTGAATAATATATCTACACACTATACTTAATAGCTATCTTCATATTCGTTTTCCTTATATTTCATCTTCTTCAGATTCTGTTGTAACCGGTTGTAATTTTGTTATGTGGAACAAAGTTGATTCTGTTTTTCTGTTACCAGTGTCAATCCTATAAATGGCTTTCGATATTTTCCCTACTATCTTAAAAGGACCTATTTTTAATTCGTCTAATTTCTTTCTATTCAGTCTATTTCCATTCTCAACATATACACTGTCGCCTATATTAAACTCTTGCATTTTTCTTTTTCTATCAAATATTTTCTTATTGTACTTGTGGGATTTTATTGTATTTTCTAATGCCAATCTTTTATCAGCAATCCACTTGTCTTCTCCTTCTATTATTTTTAATTCATTTGGTAGAATGCTGACATTTGTACCATCCAGTAAATATTTTGGTGCAAAACCTGTAACGGAGTGTTCAATTTAACTATATATGTATGATGAATCACCGGCTTCAATTCATCAGGTAAAACATAACATTTTCCTTCTTCTGTCAATATTGAAGTTATGGCCAATATATTAGATTTGCCATCGATTGAGGCCATCATCGTGAACTCAAATTGCAGCCGGTCCATCTTCTTTTAGTTAACAAAAATGTCGTTTTATAAAGGAATATTATTATGGATTTTTTCTAAATGAAAACACAAAATTGTTTCTCTGAAATACAAAGAAACGACATTTAATGTCCACTTATCTATCTTTTTACACTATAATCCACTAAATTAATTTACACGTCATCCGCCATTTTATCGCGTGTCACTCCGACGCGTCAAATTCAAATTAATGAAATATCATTCCATTACATATATATATATATATATTTTAGTTCTATAACTATTAGGACAGTATATTAATATTTTTTTCTAAATAAAGGTAATCATATTATATTAATGTTTGTACACACTAATACTTTTATTGCGCCTAATAACAATCCAGTAATTATTTTTCTGTTTTACGTACACGCATAAATATTTTTAACTGATTTTTTTTGTGAACAGCCATATCGCAGCGAGAGAGGGCCATTACCCGTGTGTGGTTATTCTGCTGGCGAGAGGCGCAAGGGTATGTACACTTGTAATTATTGAACGTCATTGTCATGTATCAATGTCATAGTGACATTAGCAGATTGTGTGAAATGTCATTAACGTTCTACAGAATACATTCGTTAATAAATTTTTTTTTGTAATTATAGAACAATAGTTATAATTAAAATATAATTAACTGTGACCTTTGTATTACCTTATGTAGGTTTGTGTCAAAACTTAATAAAATATTAGAACAGACCAAGGAGATCGGATCGGACCAAATTTCTGAAGGCATCTATAAATATATGACAACCAAGCCACATTTTTTATTTATAAAAACCCAAAAGATAGCAAGTATTTCCCAGCTAGTAACAGTTTTTATGTCGTTTTTAGTATTTTTTACCACCGTCAAAAGCTAAACATTCCCTGAACTTCCACAAATATTTCAAGATCATTAGCCCAATCAGTGCAGGCATTTTCGAGTTTTAGCGAGACAAACGAAAAGCAATTCATTACTATGGATACTACGCAACCCGTACAGAATAGGTTTTTAATAAATTATTTTTAGTTTGGAACTTAGTTCTCAAGATTAATTTTCTAAACGGAATATTTAGAATTTTTAACTACACAAGTTATGTACACTTTAAATCTCATGATTTCATAACGCGCAACTATATAAACTATGATTACTTAATCAGGCGGCAAAAGAGCGGCGAATCTCTTGCCAGTTCTTCTTGCCCGCTCTACGCCCTTGACTTGCGACCTTTTCTGTTGACGTTCATAAGTGTACTTAGTTGGTTACTTATATGAATAAAGATAGTTTGAGTTTATTCTCCTCATTAGGTATATTTAATTTTTTGTTCATTTTTGTAGTATAGTATGAAAAATTATTTAATTTATAATAATTAAGAAATCTATAACATTACAGACCGATATTGAGAATTCAAGCGCTGAACTTCCAATCCACGTGAGTTCCGGCACTTGTCGAAGCTCCATCGTTGTTTATATGAAGGTGGCTTTGGCTACGGGAGGACCGTTCACCAAATACCGATTACTTACAAGGTACTAATTCAACCCTATACCCCGTGCGAGGGTCTTATTCGAAAACTTTTGACAATTGGAAACTTCTGAATACTCGTATTCGTACCGGGTTCCAAATCTTTAATATCTCTATATATACGTAGTTGGTCCCAAAGTTCTGTCACTAGCACATTATTTCTACATTTCGAGCAGGATTTTATAAAAAAATTATTGCATTCTATTTTGGAATGTTTGATTATTGTTTTAAAACAAAAAACAATAACTTTCCGTAATTTTTCACGATGGAGTGGACATTGAAAGTAAACCGAATAGTTGTTATTGCGTTGCACCGCTGTGGACACTCGCCGAGTACCATTTTCAAGTTGCTCAAAAATTTGAATATAACGCTTAGGTTTGTGTACGGTACTATTGATAGGTACCTTGAAGTCTCCAGTGTTGAGGACAAGAAAAGAACTGGCTGGCCACGCTCCGCAAGAACACCAGCAGTAATCAAAGCTATCAAGGCGCGGATAGTAAGAAATCCTGTCCGAAAACAGAAGTTGATGGATTTGCAGATGGGTGTCAGTAGGAAAACAGTAAAAAAGGTTTTAAATGAAGATCTTGGTCTACGAGCATACAAAAAAAGAGTGGGCACTTACTAAATGCTCGTCTAAAAGCAATAAGGCTTAAGAGATCGCGGGTGTTGTTTAAGCGGTACGCGAAAAACCGACACCGTGATATCCTCTTTACGGACGAAAAATTTTTCGATATTGAAGAGAAGTACAATAAACAGAATTATACAGTGTACGCTAAGAGTTCTGAAGAAGCTGAAAATAAAGTTCCAAGGGCGCAACATGGTCATCATCCATCATCAGTAATGGTTTGGTTGGGAGTGTCCTATTACGGGCTAACTGAGGTTAATTTTTTCGAAAAGGGGGTCAAAACCAGTGCTACAGTGTACCAAGAGACGGTTTTGTATCGCCTTGTCAAAGACATGTCCAGCACCCTATTTGCGGGACATCACTTCGTGTTCCAGCAGGACTCTGCGTCTGCATACAAAGCCAAGACCACTAAAGCCTGGTTTGAGCGTCAAAACATCGTCTTAATTAGACATGAGGATTGGCCTTCCTCCAGTCCGGACCTTAATCCTTTGGACCAGAAATTATGACAGGGCTTAGAGAGGAAGGTCTGTGATAAACCTCATGAAAATTTGGAGAATCTGAAGTCATCTTTAAAAAAACCAGTGACTGAAATGGACACGAATATGGTGCGTGCTGCGATAGACGACTGGCCGCGACGCTTAAGGGCCTGTATTAAAAATGAGGGAGGTTATTTCGAATATTTTTATGCTTTTTTTATTCCTTAATTAATTTACTAAGAATTGATATATCACTCATTACAAACTGATCAGTACTTTTGTTTTTATCATTATTTCCATTTATGACAGAACTTTGGGACCGACTACGTATATAAATTTCTCGTGTCACAATGTTTGTTCCCATACTCCTCCGAAACGGCTGGACCGATTCTTATTAAATTTTTTATGCATATTCAGTAAGTCCGACAATCGGCTAATATCTATCTTTCAAATCCCTAAATGTTAAGGGTGGCCCATCCCTAAATTTTAATTTTTTAGATATTTTTTTTTTATGATAAAGCATACAAAAATACATACCACCCGTAATTTTACCCCTCTACGATCAACCCCTATTTTTTATTTGTTAATTAATATCTTATGACTTGAACTCTGAGGATTGTATAGAGAAAAATTCACAGAAAAAAACAAAAAAGTTTTGATGCCAGAGATCCGAACAGTCTCTGGGGTAGCATAGCAAAATGTTCCATGTTGGTATGTACTAAAAAGGTAGGCTAGGCATTAAGGAGAAACGGAGTTCGCGAGAGCAGCTAGTAATAGCTATAAAACTCATACTAAATGAGTTAATAGTAAATAATAACCGTTAAAATTCACACACTTCTACATTTTCCAAATCTTTGGAAATACTAAATCGAAACGTTTTGTTTATCTTATTAATGTCTTTCATTTTATAATTAACATAGGTAACATTTAGAATTTTTAAATAAATTATATTTTTACTATAGAGAGAGTTAATAGATGGTTTTTACAGTGATATATCAAACGGCCGTGAACCGTATCCAGTGCCATGTGTGAATGAAGTGGATGATGAGCCGTTGCCGAGCGACTTCACTTATGTGTCGCGGCACATACACACGGAACAGATATACATTGACAACACGGTGCAGGTGGCTCAGGTATTTAGAAAATATTAAGGTTTTATTTGTAATAAATTAAATCTTAGATTTTTTTTAAATGAAGAAAAGTGTTTAATGTCACATAGACTATAGAGTTATAGACAAACTATAAAGTCTCTGTTGTTATAAATGAAAGTAAGTCTGTGCTTGATACTTGACATGTTCTTCTTCCTCACAATCTTTACCATACAAAAACGTGTGTGTACTTATGTACACGCGTTAGAAGTTATACTTCTTTGGCGTAATGATTTTCTTCGAGCTAGAGGGACGTTTCCTTCTTCGAACTGCATTTTTCTTGTCCATTTTAATGGTCACTTCCAATCGAAACGATATAATATGTACTAATCATGATATTTTACAATAAACACTATGTTTTTATCACATTGGAACGGGTTACTCGTATAGAAATTTTTATTTTGGTTTAAATAAACACGACTGAAAAACTTTACGCCATGACAGACAATGCCACTTGTCGATAAAACAGAGCAAGCGCCAACTAGCGGCCCAGACTGTTTTACCGACGTTTGCACAGATATTCAGGATGTCGGTTTTTTGTGACGGTGTGCGCGCGCATCGTTAATATTTACTCTCATCATTTTTCCCTAATGCGCCAAAAGAAGTTTAACTTCAAAAACGATTTTTAACAATATACTGTATAAAAATGACAAACTGTGTCAAAAATAGTACATTTATTTTTATTAAATTTCCTTCTAATACATATTTATCTCTTTCAGAGCTGTGAATGCACAGACGGGCGATGCATAGGCACATGTGCGTGTGGTATATTGAGCGTTCGTAGCTGGTATGTGGGTGACAGACTGACGCCGTCGTTCCCGCACCACGACCCACCTATGATCTTTGAGTGCAATCATACGTGCACGTGCAACGTGGTATGTATCAATGTGACTAAGGGCTACTATTTAGAGCTATTCCGTTTGTCAAAATCCATTTGTTTTTGAAATGATCTCAACGATTTTATGTTATATCTGCAAACAGTTTGCTATTATCTTTTTTCATTAAAAAAAATTGTTTTTATATTTGTTTTCGTTCGCATTTTCGACCTAAAAATTATATTGACTATTGAGTGATACAATGTACCCGTTTAAGTTTAAACCTTATGTACAAATGATAACAATTATTTAAGTTAAAAATAAAACTCTTTAACGCGAGTTTTTTACATTACTCAATGTTTTGAGAAGCCATATTTATTTGAACATATTAATTGTGGTGGATTTGAAAATCAATGACTTTTTAATTTAATGATTCTCTTCCCTTCTCTTCATTCGCCGGAACCAGCACCTTTAACCAATATAATTCTATTGGTTTTTGAGCTAGTTACCTAAAAATGCATAAAGTGGAGATCAAACCTAAAGTTATCGATTGTCGAATTACGCAAAAATTTTCTAATATTAAATTAATTTACAGAATCGTTGCACCAACCGCGTTGTAGGTCGTCTACAAACGCGTGGATCGATCGGGTGTCCAGTGCAAGTGTACCGAACTGTTCATCGTGGTTGGGGCCTTCGTACGCGACATCGTGTCAAACGCGGGGCCCTGGTTGTGCTATATTGTGGGGAACTACTCTCTTGCCCGACGGCAGATGCCAGGGCAATGGACCAATATATGTTTGCCTTGGATGTTAAGCAGGATTTAATTGAAGTAAGAGGTTTTTTTCACTTGTCACATGGTTAGTTTTTGCATGGTCTATTTGATTTCTTAGTACCCTTAGATCCCGGAGCTTAGTAAATTTTGAACATAATTTTATAGAAAAGCATGCATTTTTTTATTATTATGATTAAAAAAAAAACGTTTTTCTTATTTGTATTTTTGTTTCAGCAATGTAACGACCAGACGCAGCTATGCGTTGACGCGGCAAAATATGGCAGTGCGGCGCGCTTCATAAACCACAGCTGTCGGCCGAATCTTGCTCCCGTACGAGTGTTCACAGAGTGTAGAGATCTACGCTTGCCAACTGTAGCTCTGTTTGCTTTGACTGATATAGCCGCAATGGAGGAACTCACGTTAGTAATTATTTTTAATACGGCAGGGGGCTATTGGGCCAGTGATTTCTAAAAATTCGCCCATTATCTCCAATGCAATCTGCGTATTTGTGTAGAATCTAATTGTTACTATTCTGTAAACATGAAAGTAAGTTATTAATTAGATAAGTTTACTATTATATTTATTGATTTATTAAATACTATGAACAGTAGTTAGTTGGAAGTATACTGTTTTGATACATACATAAAGTACATTACTATGCGGGTGTCAATTTATTACTATAAGAGTTAGTTTTCTAGTATTATCTGAGGATGGTAGATGTCAAAATAGTTTTAGTAAAAAACCAGTAAATATTTATAACATGACAGAGGCAAATGTTCAAAATTAATTAATTTTTTTTTATAGTTCAAGATGATATTATCTATATGATATTAGTTTTCACGTCGGATTTGTTTTCCGCATGTCTAAAAACCAAACTAACAAATTAATGCAAAGTAATAAGACTGATGTATAAACTATATTTTTCAGATTTGACTATGGTGACAAGTTTTGGTCTGTAAAAGCGAAGTGGATGAAGTGTGAATGTGGCACACTAGAATGCAGATATCCTACAATATCAACTCCTGAAGACATAGATGCATAATTATCTTTATTGAATTATTTTGGATAAGATTTCATTGTAAATATTAGTTTTGATGAATTGAATAATTAAATCAGGAATTATACAATTATAAACGCAAACGTTTTTTTGGATTATAATAAAATGCTTTTAATCAATTTAATGTTTGTTTTACTTTAGTTTCCGAGATATATAGCAGTCACAAATGAATTAAGCAAAGGATTTAACAATAATTATAATCAATATTTCCCAGTTACAGCCCCAGTAAGGGTTGGGTTTTGAATACCGTCGCACTTTTTTTATGATACTAACTATTTAGAAGTCTCGGGGTACTTTCATTGGAACACCTCCAAGCTGATTTTTGCTGCAGGAAACGCGTCTAAGTATTTTTAATAAAAATTTAAAGTTTTGTGCAATGTATTGAAAGTTGTAAACAATCCGCCAGTTTATACTTTTCTATTGGTTATTAGTGATGTGACGTTCACTTTAAAAAATCGTGTTTTTAATTTATCGATTATTTCCACATTTTTTAAAGTTATACAATAATCAACATTGAAATTAACCTAATTTCGTGTTGATAGATTATAGGGTTCCGAATATTTTTGAAATTATTCGTCTGTATTTCCTAATTAGTACTTGTATTTCATTGTTTGCAACTTTCTATATTATTAAATTTTTACTAGAATAAAGTGTTTACTTTAATATCCAAGAAGTACCCAAAACCGAATCAGAGCACCCCACTATCCACGTGGTCTTGTCTGTCTTACCCCTAGAGTGTATATAAATAATCGAAGGCGCGGAGGAAGAGCCAAAATGCCTGTACTTTGGTACGCAAGGGTGGAGGGGCTGCATTTCCCGTAGTGCCGGAGCTGTCCAAAAAAACAAATATTATTTAGATCGGTTAGGTCAGGTTAGCCGTTAGTATATGAATATTTGGTTGCCGAAGGCGACCAAGAAGCCGGGTTGGGGAGGCAATTAAAATTCATATATTCACTTTGCACCTTCCGTAAATTCCACTTATATCGAAAATTGTTTCGACCTTGCTGACATTCTTATGTCCGTTTTTCAGCTCCCAATTGCAAATTTACAATAATATTGTAAAGTTTTAACTTTTATTTGTTTATAAAAGTGACATTAGGAATTTTTTTTTTTTTTATGGCCTGGGGGTCTAGCCAAGATGGCTTAACAGTAGTGTATGTAGAAAGTCGAAAACTAAATTTGTATGAAAATGACAGCTCGTGTCGACAGTCGGTAGCCTAGGCCCTAAAGGCGTGAGTCGGGATACAATAAGCGACGCCATGACAGTGCTACGAAAAGACACACATTAACGCTGACGCTATTCGGTAGCCAACGGCCAATTAATGTTTCGGCAGTGTAGAAAAAACGGCGTTTCTCCGCCATGTTTTAGCGTTATCTCAAAAGCTGCTGTTTGCAATAATTCAGTACAACTATTGCCATCTTTAATGGCTACCGTTTTAAAAACATGTCATATTTTGGAGGTTTTAACGAAATGGTTTTAATTTGTTATCTGTCTTTTTTTAACGTTCTCGTGTAATTATAATAATTTAATAAATTTAAACTAGAGTTAATATTTTTAAGTTAAGAGTTTTAGTTTTTCTATGAATCAATGCGAGGATAACATAATAGACACAGATAAATATGAAAATATCAAGAAAATCAGCTAATTAGTAGAGGTAAATCCTAGTTATATTGGATATCTTTTATTGATATTTATATTGCATGTAAGTTCATGAAATTGTTCTTTAATTTGAAAAATACATATACCATTTAATATTGCATATATTAAGTAATCACAAAGTAAAATGATTGTACATTTTATTTGTATATTTCAGATGAGAAAGCAGTCACTAATGAACATAATTAGAAGTTCTAAATATATTTAATTGTAATTATAATAGAAGCTGATAATGATATAATATTGATTTAAATTAATCAAATAAAGTGGATTTATACTTTATGAACTTTGGAAATATAAAATCTAGTGAGCAATACTAAGTAGGTACCTAATGGTAAGCAGATATTTTCTTTAATTATTTACTAAGTCAATATACTAGAGAAGTTATTATAATATTGTTAATGAATGAGAAGTTTGAATTCAAGTCCCTTGGGCGTTACTGACATTGTTTGGTTATTAAACTTTAATTGACAATAAGCAGCAAAGTGACAAATTAAGTATATTTTTAAGTTTAGAATTAAGTAAAGAGTTTTAATATTAAAGTTACCTATTGAACAAACCTTGGACCGATCTTAGTTTAGTTTGTCAGTTTTCTATTTGATCAAAGTACTAACTAAAACATTTTCTTTTCAGAAAAAGAGAAGCTAATAAGACAACTAAAAATATTTAAAAAAACCACAAATGGAGAAGTTTTATTAAAGTCTTATCTTTTAATTAATTTAAGTGTTATATTATGTACCAGAAAATGGGGAATGAAGCATTTTATGAATAATGTAAAAATAAGACAAGTGGAGAATGAAATAATGGTTGGATAAGTAACATTACCTCATGAACAGAAAACAGTAACTGAAACTATGTTCTTCCACATTTAATCTTAATAAATTCAGCAGTTTGAATGTTAATGAGATATTATTATAAACAAACTGGATTTGTAGATTTTGGGAAGAATTATATCTTTAAAAAAACTATTATTATTTACAATTGTTGTGTTAAGGAAACAATCACTGTTTTTTTAATCGCCCAGTATGTATTCATAGTAACTGTAGGTATCATAGTAATTTTATGAAATCATCACAATATCTAACGTTAGGTTTTATGAATTGAATAATTTTTTGTATATAACAGCACACAAACAAGATATTGACTTTGCTGCAAATTAACACTTACATTTATTAGTTAATTATCTACATATATAAATATGAATAATTGAATACATCTACATTAGGTAGTAATGCATTGAATTTGGTGCACCTGTGTGTTCAGTAGTAATGTCTGTATTGTTTAACAAGTTGTTATATATGCTTATTTTTCTATGTAGACTGCATTATGTTAAGGAAGATATTTGGTGCCTTATTTTAATAAAAAATAACCATAACTGAAACATTTTTATTTTGCTACCTATTTGTTTAATATTCCTAACTATTAGTAGGTACGGGTCATTCATATATGCATTATCTGTATATTCTTGTAAAATAAACTAATATTATTAACCACTTTAATGGCTTTTCCTACTAAAGAAGACATAGGTAAATTACCAAAAATAAAACTGACAAATACATAACATACAATGTTTATTCATTTCTTACTTAAACAGATTTTGCATTTACATATTAACTAGTAGCAAATCACTGATATAACCAAAAGTTAATTGACATAAATATTAACTTAAAATCAGCATCAAACTTAAATTTATATCTAAGATGTTAGAGCATCAATATGGAATCAAAGGTTGAGTAAGGCTTATAATTTCATACCAGACTAAGTTTCTATTTTATAATTTTTATTAATCCCTCTCTTCATTTCGTTGAGTACTTGCTGCTTTTCAATTCTCACTTTCTAAAAGTATAAATTTATTATAAACAATCAACCTTTATGACTCTAACTTAAACTAAAATTGTTTGTTGGACATAAACAGAGATAATTCCAACTAGTAGCAAATCACTAATAAAATCTACACTTATATAAAAATCTGCTTTCAAATTGACATTAAAAATGTTCAAGCACAAACACCAAACCTAATTAAAGCTTAAATCAAACTCTAATTTCAGTGTTCACACTAGTCTACGTTTTTTTTTCTATTGTTTTTTAATTTCTTGGACTATCCTTCTATTCCTTATCAACTTCTAGTCAACCTTATTTTCACTCTTTATTTATCAATCCACAGTACTATTTCTATTGTTTCTTATAAGCGGTAACAAAATATGTTGCTTCTTCATTTTGCAGATTAGTTGTGAGGTCAAATCCTAAAAATATCAAAGTATGAGTACTACTAATTATTATATATCGTGATTATGCAATTTCAAAATATTGTATTTATTTGTAGCCTTAAATTTCTGAGAAAACATGAAACAAACCATAAGTAATTAAACATGCAATTAAAATTCATATATTCACTTTACACCTTCAGTAAATTCCACTTAAATCGAAAATTGTTCCGACCTTGCTGACATTCTAATGTCCCTTTTGCAGCTTCCAATAATTGGAATTTGCAATTATTGCAAATTAACAATAATATTGTAGTTTTAACTTTTATTTGTTTATAAAAGTGACATTAGGAATACATTTAATCCAGAGACAATATGACGGAATAAGGTGCTACGAACAGCAGCTCGCATCTACGCTGTCGACTTTGCGGTAATGTATCGACATGCCTCTTGGCTACGAACGAAGCGTTTTCGACAGTACAATTACGCAAAAGCGGTAGTGTATGTAGAATATTTTTCGACACCAATATGGCTAGACCCCCTGGTAACGAGACATTAGGAATACATTTAATCCAGAGACAATATGACGGAATAAGGTGCTACGAACAGCAGCTCGCATCTACGCTGTCGACTTTGCGGTAGTGTATCGACATGCCTCTTGGCTACGAACGAAGCGTTTTCGACAATACAATTACGCAAAAGCGGTAGTGTATGTAGAATACTTTTCGACACCAATATGGCTAGACCCCCAGTGATTTTGTCTTAAAGCCCACAGATTAGGTTGGTAGGATATAAGCCACATAAACGTCGATTGTTATTCGATTACATTCTATTGCATTGTTAAATCTGATAAATTTGTCCGATTGTCATAGCCTGTAGTGACAATAGTCATATTTCCATGTTCTCAGATCTATTGTCTATGACATGATTCAAAAGTTACATGTTCAACGGTATGTGTTTTTATAAACATAAACTTCGTAAATTAAGTTTATATTGATGTAATTGTAGTACATGCGTTTATTTTTGCGCCATCATGAATGGAAACGGAGAATCCACGTCTAATAGCAAAAAGTTTGCGCCAGTACCAATGTCAGCACTTCTGGCCAATTTGATGTCACACCAAACTGATGCTTTGGACTCCAGTTTTACCACGGATGAAAGTTCGAATGAAGAAGATGATTCTTTAATTTGTGAAACTTTACCTAAAAATAAATCATTACATACTCAAATAGGCAATCAAAATTCCACTCCTCAGTGTAATATATCTAAAAGTATTAAGAGCTTTTCGTCGGAAAGAAAATTGTCTAACGCTAATAAAGAAAATGTAATTATTTCACACCAAGGCCGAAGAATTAAAGAATCACAAAGTGCTCGCAAACCTCCCAAATGCTATTTAAGCCCTATCGATGATGTTAGTGCAGAGAAGAAAAAATCGAATGAAGTTTTGCTGCCTCTTAATACCAATAGTAAAATACCGCAAAGTGACCCTCATTCTACCCATAAAAGGACTCCTGAAATGTTTAAATCTCAAAATAGTATGAGAAAAGCAAAAGTTGCTACTCCTGTAATAAAGTCTGGTATAAGAAAATTTACCCCAGGTTCAGCTAAACATAGTCAAAAAAAAGCTACACTTCCACAAGTTTTACAAAACAGGGATAAAGTAAGATGTGAGTTATTTAGGCAGAAGCAGGTTGATCCTCCACCTCCTGACCCACCTGTACCAATGCCAGCGCCTGTTACAACATCAGTTCCTGAAACACCTATTAATAAAAAGCCAATGTCTGCATCTTATGCGGCAACCCCATCCTATCCACAAGGTGTGATTGGAAACAATGGTACAAATAATTCGAAAATACTATTTAAAACAATACGTATAAAAGACAAGAAATACATGTTTGTAAAAAAGTTGGGAACTGGTGGATCCAGTGAAGTTTACAAGGTAAATATTACTCTCAAATAACGATTTCTATTATAAGCTTAACTTGCATACAGTTATTAGTTGCAAGATATAAGTATCTTGCTTTTGTAATATATAGAAATAACGACAATAATTTTCATACATAATTCTGATTGATCTGTAACATTTTTTTGATTGCTTATCTATTAATATTTTATACAAGTGTTTGAATTTCCTTTGAATATTCAAGGTTTTAGAGGTAGGCACTTCATGTGAATATGCTGTTAAGTGTGTGAATCTTGCAATGGACCATGATATGGCTCAAGGCTACATCAATGAAGTGAGACTGCTCCGAGAGCTTCAAAACTCAGATAGAGTTATAAAATTATATGACTAGTGAGTATATTTACGTTTTAGTTAGTAGTTATGCTGTCTCTGTGTTAAAAACAAGTAAATTAAATATACATAATTTTGATGGTATGACATAAATTTTTGAAATACTCCAATGATCCAGAAACCATACAGAAGTATTCTATACTTATGTCTAAAAAGTACAAAATTCACTACATAATCATTTCATTGAAATTGTTTTAGTTTCTTTAATTAATTTCAATTTATGTGTCATGAAATTTATTTTACATCTTAAGTACACAAATTTTTTTAGTGAGTATGATAGACAGAACCAATTCCTCCGTATGGTACTTGAAGCAGGTGAGACAGATCTATCATCATTTCTACGAGCTCGGGGTACAGGCCTGCCCCCAGCTCTGGTCCTGCACTATTGGGAGGAAATGTTACATGCTGTACATTATATACATGAAAATGGTTAGTTGAACTAATTATATTGTAGTTATAAAAGCTTTATGCTTTTTTTTCTGACACAAATGTAATTGCACATGTAAACACGGAAATTATCATCTATTATTAACATTCTATTTTATTTAATGTCATCTTTTGTAATTTTTAAAAATAATCAGTTACAAACTCATAAACATTGCTTGCCGTTGTATCTTTTTTCTCTTCATAAAATTATGCAGTAATTTATTAATGGAATAAATCTTTCAGGTGTTATCCATGCGGACTTAAAGCCAGCAAATTTTCTATTAGTATGTGGACAGCTGAAATTAATTGACTTTGGTATTGCATCTGCTATAAGTGGTGACGCGACAAGTGTTGTACGGGCACAAGCGGCCGGGACCTATTCTTATATTAGTCCCGAAGCACTCATGGGAGGTGCAGGGGGATATAATAATAGTGCTAATATTAAGGTAAAATTTAATTTATTTTTACTGAAGGATAATATTGTGATATCTGCTTACAAATATGTACATACAAAGGATTTTGCTAAAGGTGTGACCTTTGCTTGAAATTAATTTAAAGTAAATTTGTTCTGGTAGTAATGTCTGAAGTGTGCCCAGTTGCTAGCTTTGTGTAACGAGTCTTTTACATAGCAACTTTCAAAGTATAATTATATGAGTACTGCTTTGATGGTTATTGTTCTTGTATTTATTTTATATATGTCTAATTATTATATATATATATATGTCTTAAATATTATATTTCTTTGCAGATCTCATTTAAGTCAGACGTGTGGTCACTGGGCTGTATACTATACAGTATGGTGTACGGTCGGACGCCTTTTGGTCATATACCCAACTTGGCCAAGTTAGCAGCCATACTTGACCCTAATCATCGCATTGAATATTCGCCAGCTGAACGTTCGTATAATTACTTATTTTCAAGTCAAGAGAATACTTGTTTCTTTTTTATTTGCTTAATTATTTATTTGGAAATTTCGGCCCATCCGGGACTTGAACCCGTGACTTCTTAATAGTTAAAATATTATAAATATATACTAACTTGTTTATTAAAAAGAGTGGCGGAGAGTTTATTGCGGCTCATAGTAATTATTTTCACCAGCTGTTCTTAATTTGAAAATGTTAAATTTTTTACCTATGAATAAATCTTATATACTGTTACATCGATTTAATTTTGTTTTCATAGATCTGCCGTCATCACTTATATCAGCGCTAAAATGGTGCCTTACGTACAACTCCCGGGCACGACCTTCCGTGCGAGATCTATTGGCAATACGACATTTGCAGCCCCATGGAAGACCTCTGCCTGACCATTTGATAGACAGGGTCAAAGCTCATGTCAGCCCTGAAGAACTCCAGCTTCTCCAGCAAGCTAGATTGTAAATATTCTAAGATATTGTGTCGATATAAAAGACAATTTTCCAAACAAAATATATGTACATTGAATAGGGATATGAAGAGAACTATGACGTCACGATCAACCACAACGCTTAAAATATAAATGCTTCTATCAAACTATTTTGTATACACGAAGAGCTTATCTTCAGTGAGGAGCTAAAATATACTTAGAGCCGCTCACCATTGCATACCTTAATATGGCCAATTAGAATTAGTAGATGATAGTCTTATTTAAGTAGTTATTATTGACCTCATAGCCTCCTTATGACCGACATTAGTATTATAAGTAGCTGTCACATTAACATCGTTGGTCAACCAAAAAGTAGTTCGCGCAGTCTCTTTAAATCGTAGGGTAATTATTGTCGTCAATAATGAAATTTAAAAACAACTTGTATGTGAACAGTATGCTAGTTTGTCTTTTAATTTTAAAATCATAATATATATCATAAGAATTTATATTAGAAGCAATATTTCATAATTTATTTGTATAAAATTTTATAATTTGGTATTATTAAATTTTATATATAGATCTGTATTTATTTCAATTGGATGTCTCTTGTATTTTTTGTAAATAATCAAATTTGTATTGAGAAATTTAACAGATGTTTCTTCTTCAACCCTTACTTTAAATGTAACAATCAACCGTAAAAAAAGAACTCATAGTCGACAAATGGTCAATAGCTAACTGGAGTGAGATGTCACTGATATTGCGTGTTATTAATAATGTGCATAGGTTAGCTCCTTAAGTATTTAAATAAAAAATAAATCAGTAGCGCTACAACCTCTTAAGTCTTGGCCTCAGATTTCTGAATCTGTTTCATGATCATTTTTAAATCTATTAGGCAAGTAGGGGATCAGCCTCCAGTGCCTGACACACGCCGTCGACTTTTTGGATCTAAGACATGTCGGTTTCCTCACTTCACCGTTCGAGCAAATGTTAAATGCGCACTTAGAAGGAAAATCCATTGGTGCACAGCCGGGGATCGAACCTACGACCTCAGGGTCCAGGGATAAGAGTCGCACGCTGAAGCCACTAGGCCAACACTGCTCACAAAGTATTTACTTGATTTTAAATATTTCATCTAATAATGTAGAATATATCATTAAAACTTACATTATAACGATATTAACGATACATTTATTTTTTCCAGTCATAAGTATGTTATTTGATTTTTTTTTAAATAAAATTAGGTAAAGATTCTTGAATTAGAACATGCATTTGTGGCGATTACATGTAGACACTGGCTACTTTACAAATAATACACAATAGAAGTTAAACGAATTTATTGAATAATTGGATACAAAAAAATAAATAAATCTTAGCAAGGCGATATAAGAATATAAATTATGAATAAAGCTCGCAAATGCAATAAATGCTGAAAAGGGTAGCTTCTGATCCCTCTGCGTATTCAGAAGGAAGGAATACACACCACTATGTTCACTCTTACGTGATTAACGACAATTGGAATGCAAGCTCAGGTGATAATAAAAGACATTCTTAATGAGAAATTATTCTCAATAATATATTTAGTTTTGGAAAAGCGTGCGAGTGAAGTCGATGTAGTCGAGGGCGTTGGGAATGGCTCGCTCCGACTTGGGCTCCATATACGGCTTCATGCGCGCCACACAGTAGTCCGCCATCTCCTTTGTAAGGTTCTGTGGATAAACCAGAATATTAATTAAAAAATTGAATTTTTTTATAGAATAACATGCCCGTAAAGGGCAGTCATCGTATGGACACCAATTTTAATGGGTGCGTTGCCGGCTTTTGAGGGAGGAGTATGCTCTTTTAACCCCACCGGGAGTCGATTCCACAGTTCGTTAGTTAGCAAAAGAAAAAGGGTTTAAACAATGTTAAATGTAGAATACAACTTGTAAATAAGGGTATCTCAATACCCCAACGTCTAATTGTTGACTACGTATTTTAAGCATATAGTGTCCAACTAATCGTTACAATGAAATAATAATACACCAGAAAAATGTACAAGATAAAAAAAAAAAATTTCTGATGATAAATAAAACCCCATATTTTAAATTTTATCGACAAACCTCTTATTCATATAAATTAATCACTAATTTACTTAATCACTGATTTTAAAGTACTCTAAAGTTTCCTTAACTCACTCGTAACTACTAAAAGTATTTTAAAGTAAATACATAGTAAAGTTCTAATTGAAAAAAAAAGACTAAATCACTAATTTTCGATATTGTACTGACCGCATAGAGCTCCTCCTTGGTGACATAGGCACGGTCGTGATGAGCTGCGATAGCTCTGAAAGCGTTCTCGATCTCTTCCGAGGATTGCACGTTTTCCGTTTCCTTGCTGATCATAAACGCCATGTACTCTTGGAGAGACACTTGGCCGTCGCGGTTCGGGTCTACTATGTCTACGCGACAAATGATAATGTTAAAAATTGCTAAACAAACATCCATTTCACTAGGTCCAATAAGATTATTTAACAAAACCAATAAAATTTCTATAAAAATCGAACCGATGTCTTAAAACCTTGTAGTCAAAGTCAAAAATCATTTAATCATATAGGAACACTGTATACTTATGAACGTCAAAAAAAGAATTGTTATTAGGGCGTGGGCCCCACGTTGGGAAACACTGCTCTAGAGCGTTATCAAAAATGTCAAACACACATACATACATGTCATTAACATACAGACTTACATTCAGGATTGATTGACGTTTTAGAATACGCCAAACAATTCCAAGATAGGAACCAAGTGCACTAAAGCACGAACCGAACATTGTATTCAATTAGGTTTTTCAAAATCTTACTTTGGGAACGTTCAAGTATTACGTAACGCAATTTTTGGAGATTATTGACAGCCCCCCCATGTAACTCGCCTTAACGTTTTTCAGTACCCAAGTACAGTACTGTACCCAAGTATAGTAAAACGTTTCGTGACCACCTAGTGACTCTTTAGTAACTATTATGTGGTGTAAGTCGAAAAAAATATTAACAATAACGCGTAATTTAATGCCCGCCCCGCATCGTAACGTTTTACAAAAGGAAAAAAATACGTTACGTAATACTTGAACGCTCCCTTTAACGCTATAGTGAAAAGTGGTTTAATAAATACAGTATACTCACTGAGTATAGCTTCAAACTCGGGGTCGGGTTGACCCTCCTCGACCATGGGCAGGTCATACCCGAGAGCACGCAGACACGATTTGAACTCATGCGCGTTGAGACGCCCTGAACGATCCTTGTCGAAGTGCTTGAACATCATCGAGAATTCCTTTAGAGCGTCTTCGCTTACACCTGGAAGAATATTCCTATTAGTTGTATATTCTTTAGATAATTACATTATAGTTCATAAAGAAATTCAGCGTGAAACTAGGTATAACCACCAATTGTAGCTACTGCAGTGCTTACCAGAGTGGTTCCTGGCCTGTATCTGCTGTTCCAGGTTGTGCTGCATGCGCATAGAGAGCTGGTCCAGCTGGTCCCACTGCTGTGCCAAGCCCACGGTGCTGTGCTCCGTGTAGCGGTTATCCAGGATCAAGTGTTCCTCTAGTGCTGCACCTGTAATATTACATCAAAATAACACTTTTGCCCAGTATTTGACTCGTATATTTATTGCCATATTAAAAAATATTAGCAAATACATAGTACACTTATGTTAAATTTCAAATTACCTAAAATTAAAGCTAATTCCTGCAATATATTTTATTCTAAGGAATAAATATGAGCATTTTATTTTTTAATCTCCTAACAATTAGAATATATTTCAAAAAATTAAGATTGGGATATAAAAATATTTTTATTATAATTTAATAAAAATTATCATTCTTACCAAGCTCTTCGAGGCGTCTCAAGTCCTGTCTGCGTGCGCGCACTTCACCGGCCCGAGTTCTCAGAGTTGCCAGTTGCTGCTCTAAAGAGCCTGTTCCTTCCATCATCGATGTCCTATTAATATAAATTTAATGATAAATGAATATACTTCTTTATCTGTGTAATAAAAACAATTGGGTTTGTAGAGCAAAGAGCTCCATGACTCTATTGCTTAATTATTACACTTCTGAAAAAACATGCACGATCAAACACACTCCAACATTTATAACAAAAAACACAGTTTGATGATTGGTGAAAATTAATTATTTTTAAAGGCAAAATGAAATGTGATTTTGGATGACCTCTTGCTATTTACATTATATATTAATGACTTTCTGTTTTTGCAATTCTTTGCCATAAGAATATTATTGGCAAAAATAAAGTTAGTCCATAGATTAAAAGATTTGAACCATAGACCACACATCATTCAAATACTTTACCCGTCCCAGCCGAGGAGCCGGTACCTGTGCATTAAGCAATGTTTCAAATATGTTTCCTTAACTATGATAGTTTCATAAGCGGTACAAAACGCAACTAGTCTTCATATAAATTGTATAGGATGTTGTCAGATATAAAAATAAACAAAAGATCTAATCTTTACATATCAAGCCGTAGTGATAAATGACAAAAAAAAGAAAATTTTGATGGGGTTACCAGTTATGGAAACCATACTAAAAAATAAAATGAATATTAATGTAAAAGTTCTCTATTAAGGGGAATCATAAATTGACAAAAATTTAAGATAATTCATTAATTAAACAATCCGAATTGACGAGTCTTTTATTTTAAAAATAAATTCGATATATTATTAAAAGGCCGACAACGCACTCGCGAGCCCTCTGGCATTGAGAGTGTCCATGGTATCACTTAACATCGGGTGAGCTGCAAGCCCATTAGCCCCCATTATTTTATATTGATAATGTCTATGATATGCAAAGAGAACTTTAAAAACAAAAATAGATAACTAGCAACCCCAGTTTAAATCAGAAAAATAAAATTTGTATTGAAATGAATTAATTACCGAGTCTCAGTGAGCCACTGGTGGAAGGCGTTAGCGTGTTTAGCGAACTCCTTTCGCAGTTTGTCGTTCTCCTCTTGCCTCTGCGCTTCCTTTGTTAGCTCTACGTCACGTTCCGC